TGGTGGTTGGGTGGATGCCTCGAGTGAGTGAGTGAGTGAGTGTTACGTCGGCATCGAAATGTCAAGACGGATCCACGTGAAGCCTTCAATCTTGCTCCCTTTTTTTTACCTCACTTGCGGTCAGTGAAGGAATGAAACACGTCAACACGCCCACTGAGAGGAGCAATCTTCTAATTCGTCTAGTTTCACCTCCGGAACCTCTTTCTCATCCTTCATCAGAGTTGGTGAAATGTTTTGCCTTGCATATGATTTTGTGAAGGGAGGGTATAGTACCGAAACATACGCACACAACGATTCCATAACCTCAACGATAGGAACGATTAATTATTCATTCCTTGCTGCCCTCTTGCACGCCTAAGGGCCTGCACAAGCAGGGGTGATTGATGTTGTTGCCGTTGTTGTTGTTGTTTTTTGTTTTTTCGTCTTTATTGTTATTGCTGCTCTCGTTGGGAGAATCGCTGGTCTGTGTCACAGTTTGCAATCTTCTCATTTCTCGCTGCAGTGTCGCTCCCTTTTGTCAAACTCACACGCATAAGCGAAGATAAAGCAAAGCGCATGGCAAATACGTGACGTGACGGACCAAAACACTTCTAATTGCGTCACACAGTGACAAATGTGATTTTAAAGTCGAATTGCGTGCACTCAATAAGCTATTTTCAGTTGATGAAAGCATAGTAACAATGTTTTCCTTTTTGACCATCACTATGAGTGAGAAAAGTCTAAACAGGCGGTGTTCGACTTTCCTGACGCAAGTCCCCTTCAGCCACGTCGCATCGCCCTTAAAAGCACCTCCTGGACGGTCTGTTCAGTGAACGGGAGAATCGTGACTGTCTGGTCAGTTGGGTGTTGTTGCAGGAAGAAATTCAGCTGGGGTGACGATACAAGTGAACGGAGTTTTTGAAGGAATGGGAATGCCACAACTTGACCTCTTTCTCCGCTCATGAGTGGCTTTGCTCAAAATGAAAAGCCTCGAAGAGGAGACGAAGAATAAGGCTTTGCATGGTCTTCCTAGTCGCCTCAATTAGGTGCCGCCTTTATGTACAAATCATCTGCCTTTCTGGGCTGAGAGGTGTGACCAAAGGCGTAGCTCTTCTTTATCCACCTAATTGCATCATTCGCCACCCTGAGTTGGCGACTTTATCGGCGCGTAGGTGCAGGAACCGCTTCAAAACGATGTGATAAAGAAGGTGAAGAATATTTTTGCCTCCAAGTAAGTGGCAAGAATTTTTTTTATAAAATCCAGTCAGTCTTCACGGTCTCAATGGTGAGGCTCCAAAGATAGTGCATTTCCCATTCATCAAGTTTAAAAGGGAGGCCGGGACAAGGAAGTAGTGGAAGACAGAGCAACCACATTCAACTCTTCCACAATTCAACAATTCACCCATTGCATAACTCTTCTGTAGGAGAGACTGACAACTCCTCAAAATGAGGCGCTAAAATTTCTCATCAAGTGAATACAAATTAACCGCGCAAATTAAAGTGGGAAAAAAGTTCTCACTAGACATGTGGAAATGCATGAACTTCTAGCTCCTCTTTCCTTTGCCTGAAACGAAAGGGAATTCATAATTCTGTTTTCCTTCCTCGCTCCTCCCCTTCCCCTCCCCCCTCCTTCCCCTCGTGTGGCCCTCCCCCACGCATGGGGTGTCAAAATAGCCGCTTGTTCTTTTCTGTGTGCTTCGATACTTCCACTCCTCCACACGAGAAATACCTGTTTGTTTTTTTAGGAAGAAAAAACATCTAAGTATTTGGTGACATAAATACTTACAAATGTTTTTTTTAAAGGCAGTATAAAATGCAGAATTTTGTCCAACTTCCGCGACAGAAGCACGCACAGATTGCATGGAGGAGAAGAGGGCGGCAGTGGAGGAGGCGAGGGAGGGAGGGAGGGTCTGCTCTGATTGTTTATTAGCTTGTAAATTTGAGCAAAAAAATAGAGAACACATGAAAAAAAATCGAAAAATTTTCTTTGTGTGTATGGATTTCACTTTTATTTCTCAGTTATTTACCACTTTGGATGGTCGATGGATGCTGAGGTACATAAGAGAACCTCGGAGGGGAACACAAACTCCGATATGACGTAGCATGGATTGTGCGCACACCCCTTGCAGCACCCATCAAACCAAAGATGTCCTTCTCCAACCAACCGCCTCCTTCCAGGTCTAGGAAAGCAGAGGAGGTGGAGGCGATAAACGTCGACTCCGCGCTCCATTTAGTCACTTATACAGGATGGGAAACAAATGGACTGTCAGACGATCAAAAAAGTCAGTGCAATGTTCGGTGTACACAATCCTTCGAATGCACAGTTGGATTTGCTTCCACAGTCCACAAGTTTGGATTTGCATCTCTCAAAGCAGTCAACTCAACTAAATGGAGATGAATGCAACTTGCCAGATTTTTCGATCACCATCAACTCGGTGACGGAAAAAGAGGGAGAGCACTCGCAGACGGCATCACTGCAGATCGGTTTGTAATAACGGACTAACGTTGTTCTGCGTTCCGAAGTACATTCTTTACTGCAGTGCTTAATGCGTCTGGAAATTTGCCTCAAATGACGTCTAACATGCAAGTGGCGCGCAAAGTACACTGTCGGCTGATGAAGTTACGGTGGAGTGGAGGCGTAAAGAACATTCAAATTTCCCATTGCCAAGTTGGTTGCTAAATGAAATGGTTTATTTTGCAGTCTCCTCCATTGCCAGTGAAGTAGGCAGATCTACACCACGTAATCGGGTCGGAGTTTGACCCTCTTCACAAGAAGCAGTCGTTAAATCCACTTCTCGGTAGAGCTCTACCGATACTCCCCTTAATCTCCACATGATAATCACCATTTGGGTCGGTGGCACACGATCACATGACCGCATAGGTGGGAAATAAAAGTGGGACGAAGGCTGACGTGGCTAAGGTTGGATCATTTCCTACTCCAAAAAGAAAAGGCGGAATTGACACTAAACTTGCATCTCACCGGGGTGAAATGATGGACCACAACGGTGGCTACCCCAACCTAAAAGCCCTCGGGGAAAAAAAGACGTCTGGAATGCAAAACCAACGAGTGTTGATGCTATTTTAGTAACTAATTAAGATGGTGTATTGTTTTTGTAGGAAGGAAAAAAATGTGAGAATTTCTTTCTCCCTCAGTTTGCATCAAAGAGAGTCCTGATTGGATCCCCAATGGCAGCAGGGATTCAAGAAAAAAAGTGCATTTGTGATGGCCCCTCAAAACTGACGTGTCTGACAGTGTGACAGCTGTCTCCTCGGTTTGATTGTTGCTTGTTGGGAAGTAGACGGATGAGTTGATGAATTTCATGTCTACTCTGATCAATCGGTGCCAAAGAGGAGAGTGAAAGCGTTTATCGTGTGAGGCAAACAAGTCGTTTGGATGATGATCACCACCTTCAAAATGCAATTGTTGAGAGGAAGTACTCATTTGACAAAACCTCCTTACAAGTAAACGAGATTTTGACCACTCAAACATTTCTGTCTCCCACTTACTCCTTTGGAAGGAAATTTGTTCCACTCGTTGGCTCGACATTAGAGTTTGAAGTCGCAGATGTTGAGAGGTTGAAGAGATGCGGGTTGTACCCAAGGGAAGAGGAGTAGGAGGTGTTTCTATCCGCGTGGAGGGCTGAAGGAGTCTCCACAACAGTTGACGATATGTTGGAAATGGTGGAGGTGGCAGTGGTGGTGGTGGCGGTAGTGGTGGTTCCGGCAGCAGCGGCAGCGCCAGTAGATCCGGGATTACATTGCGGCGAGGCGTTGCTAGCCACATAGGCTGGAACGGCGTAGGAACGCTGTCGGCGTTTCTGAAAGGCCTTCACCACAAGGTGCGCCTCAGACTCCGGATCCAGTCGCCAAAATGCTCCCTTGCCTGGCTCCTCTTGCCCTCGAGGGATGCGGATGAAGTAGCGATTCAATGAGAGATTGTGACGAATCGAGTTCTGAGTGGGAGAAAAATTGAGATTTCATTAGTATCCCATATTTAAACTATAAAAAATTACTACTTTGGAGCATTGAATTCAAGTTCCGCGGAAATGCATGTGAAAGGCCTTTAAATGCCCCAGATTGCAATTTTTGCCAAATGTTGTGGCCTTAGTGACTGGTGGATGTGATTTTATTGCAGACAACCTGAATCACCATGAGAGGATGAAGAAATTCTCCAAAAGAGGGACATTGGAGGTCTTTGGAGCCGATAACTTCTAGACTTTGGGGCAATAAAACTCCTCAAAGTCCTCGTGCTCCTTTAACACGCAACACATGGGTAGATAAAACAGACTTAAGGCTGGAAATCGTAGAGAACAGTTGTTTGCACAGAAAAGTAAACAAAGTGTCGCGCCTTTTAAATCAACCCAATCCCCCTATAGGTGGCAAACGAACATCAAAAGCCCTCACTTCGTCGTCTTGTCTAGAAGTCGTACTTTCTCAAACATCTGTTTGTGAAAATAAACAAATTAACGCACCCTCACTTCCTTTACAAAATGGTCTTTCTATAGGGAGGTGATTGGTTATCGTGACGTTTCGACGGCTAAAGCAACTCTTACGACTTGGAGACGATGAAGTCACAAAGTCACACAGTCTATGTGGATCAATCCAACTGACTGCCACGGTGATTGAAGGGCTGCAGCAGCTTTGTGTTCGTCAAGTGCAAATTCCTTACTCCTCAATGCTTCCACATAGGAGGAGAAAGTCTGCTTGATGTGCACGTGGAGGTGCTCTGGAAGGACATTAAAGGTTTGGGCAAGTAAGTAACAAGTGAGCATGCCAAAACGCCCTCAACACCACAGACGATGATGGCAGCGTCTTCCAATAGTAGCCAATGCTGAAAATATTCACAGAAAGAGTCCATCCTGAAAACACGAATCGACATGACTTTTGGGGTCACAAAAGCTGAACCGAAAGGCATTAGGTGAGGTGTTACATGAACCGTCTCCACTTAGCTCACGACGTGTTGGAACTGCAGATGTTATTGCATGGCCAAAGTGTGATCCTTTTGCGGTGAAGTGATGAAAGGCGGTGACCATGGAGATTGAAATAGAAGCAAGTCTCGAAATAAGGTCATGCATTGTAAGAATGAAACAAAGGCACCGAAGGCATCATAAATTACCCCGTGGTCCAACCCAGTAGAGGGGATAAAAGTGGCAAAGAGGGAACATAAATTATACCTTCTCCAACATTGGGAAGGAACGATGAGAGAGAGAGAAAGAGAAAAAAAGAAAGAAAGGACTCCTTGTACGCAGAGACAACCAAAGGTGGGAGTAAAATGAAGAAATAGTCAAATCAGACGGACATTTGAAAGTTGCGCTGAAATGTATGCAGCATCCAAACAACTGCTTTGGACACGTTATGCATCTACCAACCAACACGACGATAATCTCTGGTGTACTCTCTTCCACCCACTAGCCAAACTCCACAAAATCCGCTCAACGCAATTGCAAGACTGGAGGAAGTGTAGTGAAATAACGGTTTACTTGAAGCGTGTAGCACTCAAAAATGCGGTCTAGTGAGACGTCACTCAAAGAAAAGTTTCCTCACTGAAGGTGAAGAACTGCAATGCCAATTAGGAAGACAGGCATGAGAGGTGGGTGAGGGAGATTGATCGCGCAATGATTTGTTCTAAACTTTTGATGCTTTTGTTTCCAAAGTTCTTCACACTAACGTTCCAGACAGACACCGCTTCATTTGCTGTCTGGTATAAACAACACCTGACATCAGTCCATCCACTTGATGCTACTAAAGGGAAGGCATAGCCTAAGGAGAGGCAGAAGCGGGGAGTCGGTGAAGGAAAGGCCTTCTTTCTTGTTCGTGTGACCAAATCCAACACAAAACCGCAAATTACGATAGATTCTCTTTTCCCTGGTCCTCTTCTTCCTCCTGTTGTGGAAAGGTTTGCAGGACAGAGTAGACGTAAGGAGGATATCGCCTCGCCCACATCAGCTGCGTTCCTCCAACGACACTTCTTCATCATTCAAGTGATGATCACTCCCGTTCCATGGTCTTGGAACTAAGCTAGCGAATGATGATAGATGGATGGGTTTAGGTCGGATAGACATGAAAACTGGTAGGCCGAAAGTCGGGTGGAACAGTCTCACCAAAGCTGTATTTGGACGTTTTTCCTCACTTCCATCTTTGCTCCCTTCTCCAATTACTGAAGACTGGTAGGGCGAAGCTGGGGACTGCAGTTGTAGATAAAGTTCTCTCTACACATATGGGCTTGACAACATCTCTGGAATAATTGGACAGCCAAGGAACTGACAGTGCTTCTTCCTGCTAACACAACACTAGCACAAAGCTGAATGAATTCAATGCTCCGGCAAACGCTAAGCGACCTACCTGCCAACCCTTCTGACTGGGTTTGTAGTAGGGAAACTGAGTGGAAATGTAATTGTAGATGTCTGATAGGGTCAGTCGTCGATTGGGCGCTGAAACGATGGCTTGGACAATAAGTTGTGCGTAGGAGTAGGGTGGCTTCTCGTACACTGTGCCATGTTCCACCATCTCAGTGGAAGCCTCCAAATTGGAAGCCACTTCTTCGTGCGCCGTTGTCGAGAGGAAGGGCGATCCACCGTCCCCAGGTGAATGGGATAAGCATCGATCAGGGAATGCTGACCGATCGGAAGGTGCCGGATGGGTGTTTGAGCTGTCTGTTCCGTTGGATGTCTGACTGCAGGTAGTGGAAACCTTCAGAGGACTTCGAGAGTAGGCTGAACAATAAAATAAAAAAAATTTTATCAAAAGGTCGCATATCCAAACTAGGCAATCAGGGCACCGTACTCGACCTACTGCACCATCCGAGGAGATCTAGAACGTGTCGCCTGAGGCGGAGGTTGGAGATTTACCTCCGCCAAAGAAGTAAAAGTTAAGTTGACTCTAAAGTCAAGCTTCATGCCTGCAAAGTTAGAAGTCTAAATCTTAGTCTGAGCACAGTATTCACTTCTCATGCTATAAAAAGCGATTGGTTCAAACGAATGGGCTAAATGAATTCCTCTTTCACGCTCTTCACTTAGAAAACGGTAAAACATTTAGGAATCATGACCAGATTCCCTTAAGTGCCTAGCATTGTGCCATATTCTTTCCAATCCTCACAGGGCTGATAAAAGGTCACAGGGGACAACGATCAAAAGTTCGCGCGACAATGTGGCTCTTCAGCCTTTCCTAAAACCATGACAGTTCAGTTTATGGTTGTATCCATTTGACCTTTCTATAACCTAGCAATCAGCAATATTTTGAAGAATGTCTGATCATTGAGAAGCTCATTTAAATGGTTTATTGCATTGAAAATGGTAAAAGTCAACTTTGCGTAAAGACAGGAGAAATAACTTCAGTCGTGAGTCCATGACTCAAGCTGGCATTCAAGAGGCATCTTTGAAGTTGACTGGTGCAGCCAATAACAGCAGTGAGATCCACGACAGAGGAGTAAAGGGATAGACGTAGCTTTGTTTGATGTCCACATTCTCAGTAGCCACGGTGACACCACTGCCATCATTACTTCCATCAATAATAACAAGAATGGCGCAACGATATTTGCCGTATGTCATAGCTAGCCGCAGTCGATAATCCACCACCCAAACAACTGACAAACTGACCAATCATCTGCGCGCACTTTTACAAGTGTTTGTACTTCTCAGACCCTCTCTATTACGTACTCACCCACCCAATCAAGGGTGACACAGTCAAGGAGGCTATCACTGTTGCACAGGTGCGAGGTCGAAGGGCCAGTTTAACCAGAAAGGCGTTTTCCTGTTCGAAAACCGGCGTGTGGCGCAATGGGATGTACTTCTTGCGTCATTGGCAGACACGGGCGCGCGCACACGCACGTGCACATGTGCAAGCCTGTTCTTTTACAGGAGCCAATGACGTCACTAAAACAATGGGCACGGGGACGGCCTTGAGCAGTGACCAATGGAAATACGAAGACGGAAAATGCGCTGTTTTGTAGTCGGGTAAGCGAATGTAAACAACATGGCGCACTTGTGATCGTGCGTGCCTATACCTCTTTGCGCTAGCACCATAGACACAACGGAAGGGGATAAATAACATAAAAAATAGATGTACGCAGAGGAATGCCACTGACCCGCAAGAAGATTAGGGAAACGAAGAGAGGTTGGCTGTTCAGCTGTCGTAGTGGTGGCGGTGGTGGTGGTGGCGCTGGCGACCACGGTGACAGCGGTAGCAGCGGCATCTTGGCGTCGGGACTTGGTTTGATTCGAGTTCGGAAGCAGGAGTTCAGGTGGGGAACAGGGCTCCGGTGTCGAAAAGGGTTCAGTGGAGTCTGATTTGCACCGGGAAGAGGGTATTGCATTGGTGGCGGAGTCGGTGATTAAGGCGTTGAAGGTCTGAGGGTTCTGTTTCCTATCTAGATGGGTTGCATCCTCATCTTCCTTAAGAGACGGTGTCAATTTCTGTCGTCTAGAAGATAATCACAAAGTTGGTTAGGCTTTCTGTAGCTTATGCTTAGATTGGCTCAAAAATGCATGGATAAAGTTCCTACTTTCATAAAAACATTACAGCAAAAACAGTCAGTTTGTATCAATTTTTAAAAATGTTTTTTCCGCTATGGAGGTGGTGCAACCTTTCAGTGCGCCACTATTGATTTTTAATCTACTAATAATTTGTAGATAAGTTTTGGGAATTAAAAAATGGTATGCCATTTTCCTTCCACTTTTTTCACACCCACCCTAATGGGGGCTCGCCAAGGCGCACAAACAAAGACGGTCTTTTTCGACTTCGAAACAAGAGACATGCCATTGTCGCACAGTCCTTTCTTCCACTCACTTAAACAAATGACAAAACATTGTTTGAGAGCTGTAGTGGCCTAATGCTCTCCCTCATGTTAAGCACATAAACGATGAGGAAGAAATAGAGCAACCATCGTAGGGCAAAAGGAACTTTCCAATTCTTTACTAAGCGTCTGCTTTTGTCTAGGAAAGACTCAGCATTTATACTTCAGGCTATAGTTTTAGTTTGGGTTATTGCAGCAAATATATTACGGTGTGGGACCCTTTAAGGTGGTAGATGGACAAGCCATGACTGACGAGACGATCCCGCACAAATGGTGGTGGAAATGCACGCAGACCAACGAAAACATGGACATTGCGCAAATTATTGTGTGTGTATGTTTATATGCTAGTTGCGAAGGCACAGAAGTTAATCCCAATCCAAAAGCCATAGTTCAGATGGCGCAGCTGTTATTACCGATTTTGAACCTACCGCATGAGCTTGACCAATCCCAACTGCGGACAAAAGTGCAAATACAATGACTTCAGAGCCTTTGAAGTGAGAGATTTGTTGAAAGGATCGAAATATACATGGAACGGTCACGTCTAGAGAATCCACATTATTTAAGGTAACTGCAAAAAATTTACCCATCACAAAGGAGAACAAAAGTGCAATTTCAATGGTTCTAGAGCCACTTAAGAGAAATAACTGTTAAAAGTAGACGCAAATTAGACCATTTGGGTCTAGGAATCCAACGATGGAGTGGCGCTGATCCCTCAAAGTGTCTGCAACAGGAGAATAAGAGAAAATATTTGCAGAAACACACTCACTGAATGTACGAGTCGAAACGATGGCGTTCAGACTTCCTAGCTCGCCTCGCATTCAGAACATTTGAACGCGGTTTCATTAATTATGCATCGCTGAACTAAGGGTAGTTCGAAAGCTCAAAAATAGACAGTGGCCCAAAACTCGGTGAAAAACTGTCCATCGTGTGTGAGGCTCAAGTGTCTGTAAAATGGACCAACGTGTAGCCTGCCAGCCGTACACACCCGCGCACGTACAGCCATACAGACAGATGGAGGAAAACTGTTACGTCAATCATCTCAACTCACAAGTTACTGAAAAAGCCCACGCTTTCGCCTTTACGTTACACTGAGATCTACATTCCACGAAACACCCCGAAGCTATTGGCGATTAGGAGATTCGAGGCTAGTTTTAGAGCTACAAAACTACACGATAAAACTGTACCCCAAGACAATCAAAGTAGTTTTAGACCCATAGACAACCCACCCTTAAACCATGAAAAGCGTTAAATTGAAAACGGGATATCAGCAGCCTTTCGGTGGAGTTAAAATGGACTAATTAGCTACCCCCTTTCAGTGACTTGTTTATGTCTCGTTGGGCTGCGCTGCCTCGCCTAGCTGCGCTTCGGAAAAAAATCTTCCTCCACTTGCTCACTACTTCACCAACACACGCACACGTCCTATGGGCTGAAATTATTGTTGCTACAGCAACGCAAAAGTACGGTTCTTCGCAGGCAGGCAGACTTTCGTAAACACAAACACACCAAGTGCGAGCGGGCATTTGGAAAGCAATTATTTTCGAACAGAGCGCGTAACAGCCTCTAAACGTTTCCATTGGTCAGTCTCAAGGTCACTAGGTAGCCGTTGCTGCTACCGCCGCTACCGTCTGCGCTGATGTGTGAGCTATTTCGTGTACTTTTGGGAACGCACAAGCACGGACGCGTAGTGGCGTTTTTAATAGCCTTTCACTTGGACGACTGCGTTGTTATTGTTATGTTCCTTCTAATATTCCTCCTCCTCGTCTTGCGTTGTTTACGGCAACACATCTAGTTTTCCAACCGCCCCATTCCTTCTCCTCCCCTTGTTTTCGTTTTCAGGTTATTTATAAACTAAGGAAAGCAGAAGAAACTGCTAACCTTTACTATCCGTCTGGATACAAACCAGAACTTTTATGCATTTTTAGTAACTTCAATACATCAATGTCCCACTCAATTCCGCACCACATGAGGTCAAGTTCAGTTGCCTGGATCACTGCGCTGCGTCGTGTGCTGAAAGGTTGCGTCGACTAGGGCGTCACAGCAGCCCATTTTCCTGGGTCAACATCAGTTCATCAAGGTCACTCTATCTGTGTGTTTGTATACACACAGATGTGTTTGTGTGAAAAGCCTTGGAGATCGTTAGGACTTAAAAAGTTTATAAAAATGTTAATAATACCGAAATTTGAATGCAAAGGAATCAATAGCGTGATGCGATCTGTAACATTTACAAACACGACAAAATTACTCCTCTGCAGATGAATTTGCTTGCATTCAATGAGGGAGGAGAACAATTGAAAAACGGGCACAAAATGGGAAAAGATGGTGGTTTAACCCGAATAACATTAATAATAACAGTACTAAGCTATTCGTATTTTTTTGTTTTCGAAGCAGGTGGGTAGAAAAGAAGACGGAGTTCATTCCAAACATACTAGCTGGACTACAGCACAAAACCGATTACGGTAAGTTTTCTGATAACGAAAGATCGTGGTCGAGTGTAAAATTTACAACAAATTGGATTAAAGAATGGTGTCAAAAAAGTCGACAAAAACTACATAATTGTAAATAGCAAAAATCAGATCTCCTTTAACCATGAGGTCTTGATAATAATAAATTTAAAAAACAAGACTATATTTGGCCGTTATGACTTCACTAAGAGTGTCGATAGCCAATTAAAATAACAGAATACTTACTTTTCATCCGGAAAATCTGGGATATCCGAGCCATATCCAGTTAGACCAGCGAGCTCAGCAGAATACCTCCATATAGTGCGCTTCTTTGGGTGTCTCAAACTTGAACTCGAATCCAGAATTTCGACTACAAGTGTAATCGGCGTGCTTGGAAACCTAAGACGGCAACTAAAGAAAGTGTTAACAGTACTATAACCAATACCAGTTGGGTAATGGAATGAGATCCTCACTGAACATTTGAAACTCTTCATCAATGAAAATACCATTCTTTCCTAGAATCCGAAGAAAAAGCGCTCCATTTATCGTGTGAAGCTCGAGATGCTTCCGAGAAATACATACAGAATCACCAAGACATATATCGGTAGGCAATTGGCTTCTCCTACCGACGGTTATGACCTCTTTTTTTAAACAGTGCGTAAAATTCGGTCCTGTAACACGGGTATACATTAGTCTGGTGACTTTCGAAATTCAAGGACCAAATGTGGTCAATTAAATCGACTCGCGTTGACCAGACAGTATCAAAAGCAGCGGATATGCCAGAAAAATGCATGTACGCCGCTGTTAACATTAAGGTCAAACCCATTGTATATAGCAGAGCTAAACGCGATCAAAGCTCAATGCACGGTTTGGCATTTATTACTATAATAAGTTGCTATAATAATAAGACGCAAATATCATAACATAATGACCTGTTTTTTCCGGTAAGAAATTGTAAGATGAGCCTACTTTAATAAAGTTTCGTATTTTGAGTTAACTCATAAGGCTTTCTCGGTAAGTTGCAAGTTCTAAATGTGTAGCAAAAATTTGATTTAAAAAATTGTTATGCATTGTAATAACAATTGGATCTCTTTAAAAATAGCACATTTACTGCCGTGGCGGGACTACAACTTCTTTGGCGTCTTATCATTCCTTGTGAATAGTTGAAGACTAGTTTCAAGCCAATTTAAACTTATTGTTGTTGTTGTGATCGAAGGCAGTAAGTAAAGCTGGAGGGCAGAGGACGGAGCAAATGGGCCTGGGCACGGCCCGAAGGCCAGCCTACATGCACAAGGGCCTGACAAATCTTAAAATGACCGTCGAACGTCAGGTAGCCACATAAACAAAGCATTACACTGCCCTCTCTTCTTTCGACCGACGTCCTCGATGCTCCCCTTGGTACGCCTCCTGCGCCAGCCATCACAACATATTCTGTGATTCAGGAAAGCGCCAATGAGCCAACCGCGCCAACTAGCTGCCAAGATGAGACTGAGAAACTCTACTTGGTTTCCTCAGCAGCTTTAACTGGACCTGGGATTACATTTGGTCTGAAAACCATATTCGGAGCCACATACATCTTTTGACCATCAACTGCATCCTGGAATAGACGGTAGAACTCTGGTCTACAACGGATATGTTACAGGGAATTTGGCATAAAACACTGTTAAGTATGTAAGGAGAACTGTAGTGTCATTTCTGACACTTAGACACAGATTTTGTATGGGATATTCCAGCACGTAACTTCTCCAAGTGGTTCACAACGATGTCGCTTCAGTTGTTAATAGCTGTTCCGTGGAAAGTAAAAAGTCAAGGGGAAGCCGAATGCAAAATCAGTCTCAGCCCTCGACAAGAGGGCGGAATCAGAGGTTCTCCCACCACCAAGGTAAATGCGCCTCTTCCACAATGTAGGCACATGTAACGAACGGTATGTGCCAGGGTAGACGTTGTCAAAATGCAGGGTTCGCTTACAGCTGCCACTAGTGTAGTGTCTCGAGACTACTCATTAGGTGTGAGAAGGCAATAAGTGAAGCTGGATACATGTAGCCCGAAGAGAACGAAGCGACTAGACCTGAGCATGGCCCGAAGGCCAGCCCACGAGTGCTAGGACAAGACAAATCCTTAAGTGACTGCCAAACGTCAGTTTTCTGGAGTCCTTTTATCCGACAAGAGAGGGCATCAAATATGGCCGAATTTAAGCATTTAAAGTTAAAAGGGAAGTGGATGGATTTTGGCTTAGTCCATGCGCACAATATCAAGACACATAACAAAGTTACCACCAGTCTCACAGGTGGTCACATAAATTGAGCATCATACTGCCAACCACTTTTTTCAACGACGTTTACGGTGATCCCAATTCGTACACATTCTGCATCAGGCATCAAAACACACCCAATGCTGTGAGGAAACGAACGCTATTCGGTCACACCATTCGCCGGTTTCTGCTGGACTACGAGACTGTTCGTGGCCTTTTCAATAGCTTCAAGTGAATATTGAGGTACTTTGTTTAGGTGACTACCTGACGTTCGGCTGTCACTTTAAGACTTGTCTGGCCCTTGTACGTGTGGGCTGGCCTCCGAGCCATGCTCAGGCCTAGCCGCTTCGTTCTCTTCGGAATACATGTGTCCAGCTTCATTTACTGCTTTGTTCCACCCTATGGGAAGTCTCTGGACGCTACAAATATATAGTTCCATTCGGTCTAAGAGCGAAATCGCAGAGAGGAATTCCTATTGGCCCCGAATTGTGTCCAGGACTAGGTTCAGCAAGAGATTTTTAGCAAGATAAACTGTATCAATCACAGTTTTGTATGGAAGGAGAATTAGACATAGTGGAAGTTTTGACATCGAGACTCGGATGTAGTAAGATGGAACCCCAATGCGAAAAATTTACAGATGGTTCACGGCTGTGGAGCTTCAGTTTTTGATGGCCATCATTCTCTGCCCTTCTATTGTTAAGAATAACTATTTTTTTCTCCTCCTGTCACGACCGGCGGACACCAGAATAGAATCGTAAAAAGATTAGGTTCTATTTCACTGCCATAAGTGTAGTCTCCCAAGACTTTTCACAAGTATAAAAGGCATTTGGTGAGGCCAAATACGTGATTCAAGGGAGAGACTGGATTTTGTCTTGGCTCGCAGGCCAGCTCACGCATGTAAAGACAAGGTAAATACCAAAGTCACTGCCAAACACAGAAGTAGTCAAATAAAGAAGGTATTGCAGATGTGTTCAGCAAAAGGGAAGAGGTTGCTTGTACTTGGCATTGTCCGGATGCCTCCTCGCCAGGCTACTTCAATATGGCTACCCAATTCATTAACAAATTACTGTTTTTTCGCCTCTCTTCTTTTGAGACACAACTCAATGACTTACCTCGTCGATAACTTTGCTTCAGCTAATACCAATCCTAAAAGGAAAACATCCACAAGACCATTGCAGCGGTCGTCATAGCTCATTGCAGCTGAGGAAATACTCGACCACTATGTCATTGCTTCCTTCTGTCAAGTGTAGCGAAGAGAATTACATGCGGTGTGCGAATAAAGTTAACTACAATAAGACCCTGCCGACCACTCTGCATTCCCCTATCCAAGCATTAGAACATCGATTCAAAAGCAAATTTTTGGATAGAAACGCGATTTCCAACGCATTTGTACTGCAATGGAGCTTTGCGTATATTTGAACTGCCGAGGTCTTTCGTAGATGTTTTATTGGTAGCATCACTCCCATGGCTAAAGCCCTTTTTTTGGAAAGTAGGCGAATGCCGTGGAAGTCGAAGACAGATATTTCTGTGATGAGGAAGCTAGTACCCCAATCACCTACTTTAAGGCAGTAGATCTTTGTCACCAACAATGAAACTCAAGTCAACTTCCCGTCACCTCTAATGTAGCCACAGGAGATCTCCCTGACCACAGTGCATATGCTCAGCAAGAGACATTGACACTACCTGGGCCATACGGCCACCTACCTAAGCGACCGCAGCGACAATCGACAGTCAAGTAGGCAAAATAAACAAACAAACATGGCTACGCGAGTGATCAAACCGACACCAACATCCCAAAATTCCGAGTATTACACCACTCATGGAAGTTAATATCACCAACAAAGTGGTTGTAAGATGACCAGCGTTCAAGCAAAACAAATGAGAGTCATAAAGTCTCCCAGATGGCAATATAAACGCAAAGAAACTAAAAACGAACCTTACTAATCATGAGAACGACATCATCCCCTACCCATCACAAAATAAAAACGCCACATATTTATTTTTTTGGAATAAAAAAAATCCCCATGTACAGAAGACGCAAGTGCACAATTCAAACATTAAAGTCAATCCGCTTCGCCTCATATCCCGTGTTCCCTACCAGTGTTACAGTTTTGCTCCCCTCAGCACCACCACCACTGGATCCCGTGCTCGCTCCACTTGTCGCTGTAGCATTCACGACGGTGGTGAAGGTAGTGCCTCCTGCCGTTGCTATGGTGACTCCTGATGCGCGTTTAAGCCCGCTAGCCACAGAGGCTCGTCTCTCTGCCGCTCCGATCACAGCGTTGAGTTCAAGGAGGTCTTTGCTAGTTCCCTTACCTATGGTAAAGGAAACGCGTTTGGGAGAGAGAGTTTGGCCCCCAACACCAAGACCAGATTGGGAGGACACCGCGGTACCACCCGGTGGAGGATGGTGAGTGATACCAACCTGGCCCGGGGTGTGAAAGTGATGTGATTGTTGTAAGTGGTGCTGAGCCGAACCTATGAAGACATTGCGGGTTGATGCCAGACGCCTAAAAAAAACGTTAAAACTATTTTCGGAGGCACTTTCATCTGCCTATCTGATCATTTGATAGTATATTACTACAGTACTTCAAAGGAAAACTACGTCTGCTTCCCATCCTCCTTAGTAAAAGCCCTCATTCATCCAATCATTATGCTAATGTTCCACAAATCTGAGTGCCTTAAGGCTCTCAAATCTTTTCATATTTATTTTTTAAAAAAGTTCTTGTGGTGGTTACCTGGCAGGTAGGAAACTCTCGTTTGGGAGTGGAGAGTAATCACCATGCAGCGCGTGGAGAGTGGAGTGGGAATGGACAGCAGCAGGTGCGGTGGTACTTGTAGCAGTGGTAGTAGCCGAAGTCGGATGCGCCGCTGGCAGCGGAGTGAGTACGGGCTGCGTTTTTGCCGCAGGATCGGAGGTTGCACCGGCAGCACCAGCAGCAGCGGCAGAGTTCACAGAGGCCGGTATAAAACGTTGTAAAAAGGTCTCCACGCGAGTGAGGAAGACAAGGTTATAGAAGCGAGTTAGACTGCCGCGTTCCTCGACCGGCTCGGTGTCGGCGGCAATGGAGCGGCTAATCAGTACGCGTCGGTAGGCATCACGGCTGGCTTGCGGCTGCATGCGGTAAGCCTGCATAAAATGCATAAGCGAGTCAACGGTATACAAATTTCACAAAAACAAATCACTCAATAACAAACACTACTGCTCACCTGCACGATCTCCACCAGAGTCAGGGGCCTTGAAGTACTTGTCACTCCACCACCACCACCACCACTAACAGTCGCCTTGGCAACGCCATACAGGCAACACAGGAGAATCTGATCCAACAGTCGGTCCTTCAACAGCTCTGTTTCATTCACTAACACATATTCGAACGTCGTCCATGCTCGAGCTAGCAAAGGAGCAGTTGCAGTTCCTCCTGTGGAGACTGCTGCTGCTGTTCCAGATGGCGCCGCCGGACCCGACGATGACTGAATCCTCTCACAAATAGCTCGTAGTCTTGATGCTGCCAGATGATAGACATGACGGAAAAAAATGGCCATTGGATCATGTCGTAGGGGTGGCGGCGGGGCCGTTGTTGTTGTTGTCGCTGACCAGAGCGACGTTCCTCGAGGCTCCACCTCGGCTTCAGCCGCAGCATCAAGGCCTTCCTCCGTCCCAGACGCTGATACTTCTGCTTCTGATGCTGCAAGAAGGCTAGCAGCAGCGCGGGCTGACTCATCCTGATGCTGCTGCTGGAGTGTTGTTGATGCAGTAGAAGTGACAGAAGAGGCAGCCAATCGGATCTTCTTGGCTGGAGTGATAGAAGTGATCCCACCAGGTTGGCTTGATGCCGGCGTAGTAACTAGTAGCTCCCGACGAGAGAACCGGCTTACGATGCTCTGTAGAAACAGGAGATTAGCTTCATTTGTAATACCAAACTTTCTCACCTCAGCACAATGCCATGAAGCTGTGGCTTTTGGCCTAAGGATTGCACATTATGGATAATTGCAGATGGTTTTAGTTTTCAATTAAAAAAAAATAATTATATGATCAAAAAGTGCTTGACCTCAAATTCGATTCTCCTAAGCCAATCATAAGAGCGTGGTTATTCACTCACCTCATCCAGTTTTTCCGGAGGAAATATCTCCTCCACCGAAGGCACGGTCGAGGTACGAGAACCAGCCGAAGAAGTACACTGAATGGTAGCCCAAATCGAGGAGCAACCTCGCCAAGCGTACTCACTCAAAATTCCTTCCACCACACAGTTCAAGTACTTTACCAACTCCCTCGGCAACTCTACATTCTTTACAAAAACTTCCACCACCTTGTAAAACGAAATGGCATCCAAGGCGAGAGGCTCCAAAATCCAAGGAAATCGTCGCCCACCATCTTCCTCACAGTTCACAAGAACAATTTCCAGACAACAAGCATAGAGAGCGCGATGAAACTCCTCAGACCGAACGATTCCACCTCCACTGCGTCGAGACTTCTCATCAGCGAGAATTGACTCCAATCCGTAGTAGTAGAGCTGCTCCGCCAATTGACAACGATGTCCGGCTGCATCAGTTGTGGCCGAGTTGCCACTAGCGACGTAGGCGGCAGTGAAGTCGCGAGAGAGACTCTGAAGACGTGTGCGGATGTTAGTCAATGGTGTCTCGGTAGTAACCGTGGAGCGTACGAACTCAGCAAGTGTCTCGCTGGGATTTCGGCTACGACCAGAGAGGAGGGCTTGAATATGATGGAGGTTTTCACTGCGTGTCTCTGCGCTGTTTAGCCCCACAAAACCACTCAGACTTCCCATCACGGGACCGTAAAGAGCGCTGTCAGGACGCGTGGAGCCCATGTAGAGGCCACTGCCAATACCTTCGATCCCTGTTGGTTCTTTGGGTTCTTGCTGAAAAAAGGTCTTATTAACAGTAATGCGTTTGTAAAGCCTTCCACTTAGAAATGCATTGTTTTAATCAACTCAATATTAAAAAAAAGCAAGAAACGGCTTTTAAACCTCACAACCGTTCATGTAAGCAAATCGGTGGGGCTCAGCAATAACAGACTCTGTATCACGAATTCACCAATTGGATGTGTTGAAGAATTGTATGCAAGACTAAAAGACTTACAATCATGTGCTTAGAATCGCCAAAAGCACTAGGCCGGGCGGAGCCAATTTCCTCAGCAGCTTTAGAATTGAGGAAAATGCGTTCATCAAAATCACCAGTGCCGAGGATGTACTCCTCATAATGATCATTGAGACGCTGCATAGCATTAGCAAAGTTCTCTTGACGTAAGAAGTCTATGGGTCCCGGAGGATGGAATTTTGCCATATCCTTTGTTGGTAAGAAGAAATTGATAAAGCAATAAAAGACCCGATATGAGCAGAAAAGTTCAGCTACTTATCAAAGTCAAGTACCTTGTTTGCCAGAAGCGAAAGACTATCACTTACCTTTTCGATAAGCCTAGAGACGTAGGGCCGAAAGAAGTGCTCCTTGATTGCTTTGCATTCCACAAAGTTTATCCCGTTGTCCTCACAGATGTAACGCAACATGCAGGGCATATGGGACGCATCTGTTGTCAGTGGAGCAGCAGCACTAAGTGGACCTCCCGTCCTTCCACCCCCGCAGCGGTAGTTTCGATTTAAGAGACGTCTTTCATCTCCTAACAGCAGCATACCGAGAATCCAATCCACACAGCAGGCAAGGATGTAAAAAGAATTCACTAGATCGTCCGCTATTGCTGGGAAGTTAGCCCGCGTTTTAACGAAGAGGATCCAAGTGAAGCGAAAGATGTCCATAGAAGTCACATCGGAGGGATCTTTAGAGGAAAGAATCCTAGAAATTCACCCCTTGAGGGCGAAAGCAATCGAGTTGCCAGCCATTTAAGTTAAGTAGGTACTATGTGAACAGTCTGCGAGAAACATCTGACTCATTCTCTGGTATGGGATGATAGCACACCAACTGGACGATATTCAGTTGGCTCCCCTGCCATCCTCTAGGAGAATGAATTGTAGGTGTTCATGGAAAGCTATGCATTATTTGTCACCCCTTCCTCCTATTCACAAGCACCAGGTTCTCTGCCTTACTGGTGAGGCGCCATATCTTTGTCAAGTAAAGTTTAGGACAACTCTCCATCTTTTAGCCGGATATAAGGCCCGAACGACACAACAAGTGATAAGGATTATTATAGTGTTGAAGACTTGTAATGGAGGAGCTACCAATGAACTAAGTAATGACCGAGACGGCATTAAACTTAGACGATTTGAAGACCTCCATCACGGGAATAGTCACATTCAATGGACTACGCAAACATGGAACACATTCGTCACCTTAAAAGTTAATGGGTTGATGTCCTTTTGATAATTAGACAGGTTTTAAGGAGTGCCATTGGGAGAAATATAAATGGGTGTCAAATATCAGTCGTGTAATGAGTCCAATTGAACGACTCTGATTTGAGATAAAAGTTCATAAATAGCTAACATCGAATGAAATACACCATTGGCAGTATTAACTTCTTTAAGGAAATGAAGGAGCCCGAAAGACCAAATCGAAATTCCACCAAAAAGGAATGCTAACGGACTGACTAAGTGTCATTTTATAAAACACAGGATAAAGTTATGGTGCAGATCACAGCACGCTGGTTGACGCATAGCAGTAGCCTCAAAAGGATCGCAAAACAACATCATTTGTTTTCAGTAATAGTGAACTACGCGGTCTTTTCAATTCACCATGCATCAACTATCCCTTTGGTGATAGTTTTATGCGCATGTATGCAACTTCCCAGTCCTTCCGTACATCAGTAATGAAATTGCATGAAATGAAAAGAGTTGGGAATAGCTCACTAGCACCAGACTCGTCATCCTCAACTTTCGCATCAAGGTTGCTGCTGTCCAACCCGCAAAAGTATAGAGGAAATGCACAAGAGTAGTAGCGAAAAGCCACCGAGGAGACAGCGAATTGACGCTCCAGGCGTTCAATGCGATCATGCATATCGTCAGACATCTCGGTCATGTCAGACCACTTCCGAATGCGGTGGAAAAATTGCACCAGACTCATTTTTGCTGTGGCCAGAAGGCGAGTGAGAGAAATATAAGCACTGTCCACCATCACCTGACCAGAGGCGCTGTCTGCAGTGGGCCGGCGACAGCATTCGTAGAGAGAGCAAACCAGCCATTGGAGTTGGTCCCCCTCGATGGAGTAGTTCGTCCATACCTCTGTAGAAAGACAAGTACACAAATCAAAACCTTATCAGTGATACTTACGATAAGCCGAAGGATATTTCTATGACAAGAAACCTGTTCATGAAAGGGGAACAAATTGAGTGATTTTAAGTAGAACTCCTACTTCACGCGATCATGATGGAGAGCAATAAACGGTTCAAAGCATTTGTAGGAAAAATACTAGAACTGAGACCAAGATTGTGTGGAATGAAAGGTGCTATATGAGGAACCGGATAATGCATCTGTTTAAGCCAAAGCATGGGGATCAGCACAACAACAAGTCCCATGGCTAGAAATTCAGGGGTTTTCGGCCAACAGGAATGGAAAATCGGAGGAAATGTAAACACAACTAAACGACTACAAAGAATACGACAACCAAACAAATGCTATAATCGTTGGATCGTACTTTGTCTGCATTTATTTATAAGAAACGTTTGGTTGTTGTGCAGAACACAAATCCGATGAGTGGATTTAAAAGACAGTTTCTAGTGTAGTTGGTACTGCGATGTGAACCCAAACGCATGATAAATCAAAATATCATTAAATAACAGGTAATGAGTTGCTCAGAATTTTAACCATATCCACCACTCACACGCAAGCCAACCCATTTGGAGGAGCACAAAGGGAAAATATGGCCCAAGGGATCGATGCAAGCTCTTACGCATGTGTAACTCATGTCATTAACCAAAACTCTAAAAGATATGCCACGAATGAAATACGTTAAAACTAGAATGAACAAACAATAATAAGGGACTGTGTCACAGCAAATAAAGACAAAGCATGACTATGGCATTCAAACCTTTCAGCGACAATGTTCTAGTTTGAGAGAGAGCAGAGCATTGCATAATTAACTGAATTAAAATCCATCGAGCTCACCAAGCGTCACACAAAAGAACACCCTGAATAAAATGTTATGCAACATTTGCAAAGCAGAAAAAGGGCATAAAGGCCCTAAATTAGTATCAAAAGAAAGCTTTATCTCACCCTTGTACTTATCCCACGCTTCTTCACGAACGGTCGCCTCTATGCATAGGGCATTACATAAGTCGTCGAACCGCTTTTCGATCGGTTCGTTTACGTCGTACATATGCAATAAACCCTGAAACCGAACAAGAGAGCACACCAATACAACTTCCCGCGCGATCCACAATTCGAAACTGAAGTCATCGCCTTGTTTTACTCTATCAAAGGCAGTGCTCGTATTTGCAAAAAATGTAAAAGCATTTATGATAGCATATAGACTCGAAATTAAAAATTGCTATTGCTTTTTAAATGTTCTTGAAAGGCAATGTTTACCGAACGCTTTGAAGGATTATTCCAGAAGCGATCGTTGGGTGTGCCAGCTCCCCTATTGAATTGTATCTCCCCTACATGATATTAGGCAAGCTACCACATGAGTGAAAGCCCGCACTTTCCAAAACATGTGTACGGAACATTTCTGAACTCCGAACTTCAGAAGAGAGTTGGTTGAGAGAACTTAATTGGGCATCCGGTACAGAGAGAAATGGAATGGAAAGAAGGAGGGAAGAGTTGATGAGTCAAGAGGCTGACATTATTTTGAGAAAGGTTGATGAGGCTGAGCTCACATTTATTGAAGGGAATAAAGCCACTCCTCGACTACCCTGGGTGTCAACCGAGCGGCATACTTTACGCTCAGATTCATGAAGGAGGCCAGATCATTTTACCAGCAGTTGGTGCGAATCCACGAGCCCTCCCACACGGGAGAAGGACGCCTCTTCAGCACAGCATTAGTCTGCGCAAAGGTGCAACGCACCCCACCACAAGCCTCCACGCACTTTACAGCCAGCATGCACGGATCTGTCCATGGGTCTTCGAGACAGAGAGCACAGTATCTTTAACTGTGACCGTGTCTGCTGCCTCCTTAACTCATTCACTGCCAGAATCACAGGCGTCCACATCAGCCGCTCACTCGGGTCCGGTAACACCACCGGCACCATTAACAAGTGGATCGATGTCGTGGCTGTCCAACTAATGGTAAGGTTGCACTTGCAAGTGCTTGCGAAACTTCGCAACCACAAGCACAATACGACGAAAGTGGTGTGGTACATCTCACCTTCTAACGTACATATACTTGTTATTGCCATGCTAAAAAATTTAAACCAAAAGACTGGTTTATGCAATCACATGACGTTTGGCAATCACTTAAGGATTTGTCTTGTCCTGGTACTCGTGGGCTGGCCTTCGAAATATGCTCAGGCATAGTCGCTTTGTTCTCTTCGGACTACATGTATCCAGTAGTCTCGGGACGCTACAGGATGTGGCTACAAATCGAGTGGTCGAAATTCAACTGTATGTGCCTGTGAATCATTCAATGAACAACAAATGAGTACACGTCTTCACAGCCCAGTTGTTCCGCATTCCTCTTCTCTCCACCCCAGTGACGACTTCACACAGAAGTGGACAGGTGTGTGGTAACGCATGCAAATGAGACCTTGCACCCATAGAGACCTACAATTTCACTGTTGAGATCAGGTGCGCTGTACCATCTGGGTCAAAATTTATATGTCTCACTGCACTAAAAGATTATGAATGCTTGCCAGATTGTGTAAAATTATTTTAATTTGAACCCTAATTCGGTCACGTGGGATTGCGCGCATGTGTGCGCATCTCAGTCGCTTGAAGGCCCATTCTACAATGTAATCGCCGCCTCCTAGTCTCTCCGCCAATTAATACTACATTTCCTGCTACATTAGCACTGCTGCTTATGACACCAATCCAAACATGTGTTGTTTCTAGATGACCACAAAACCTCTTTTTGTCACTTGAGTTTCGAGTGGTTGTAATATTTGTCTAGGCGTCGGTTCCCAATTTATTCACTTCATTTAATACCGCGATAAGGTGGAGGACGAGATTGGTCTACCTGTCGTGTGCAGCCCGTACAACTTACATTACGATTTAGGCGATATTTAATCATCAACACACCGCAGCTTCTACTATTCAACCTGCCATGTTGAAAGTAGAACGACACGACAATACTTTTGTGAATTTATGAAACGTCAAATTCCCAGAGTTGTTCCAATAGGGCACTCAAAAGTATTACGGCAGAAGGGAACCTCATCCACCATTCATGCATTAAAGTACAGAAAAACTCTTTTGTCAGCATCAATCAGAAGACACTTCATAGAAGAATAAGCAAGTCATATGGACACCACTACAATGACTATTTATAAGCATTATTAAGCTTTATGACTTTTAAGTAACGATCCAATTCAGCAATTCCGACGGTTCACAAGAGACCAAAGGGTGACTTGGGTAGATCGACGAGCCATGTGACCCCGGATAATCTGGGCCATGACTAGCATAAACTGAAGTCCCTAGCTGTATCACCGTCCCAATGACGATGTCATTGTAAACTTGACCTTTTCAAGATGAAGGGGACACTGAGGAACTGGCCTCATGTAATACGAAATGTTGATCAAATCCTTAAAAGTGAAGACTGCAGCAGAATGAACACGAGAATGAATGAAGACAGAACAAAAAATTCGATAGACTATATTCGGAACTGAAAAAGCGAACTCAAAAGACACCCAATTAGAAGGAACTCCATCAAAGGAAATAACATGGACGACAGAGGAAGGGGAGAGTTTTGTGGGAGGTAAACACTGCAGATAAAACAAACACTCAAATGGGTGGAACAAATCAGATTATCTTTTTCAGCGTCCCAAATGAGTATCGAAAAAGGCAAAACAAAGCGATTACAGCATTACGGCGAATACGACCCTCGTTCGAAGGTCCAGATACACGCTTGGAAAGGCTTATCGAAGAGGCTTACCAAGCCACGTGAAATCATCCTGCAGAAAAGACAACAACGGGGATGGGGAGAAAGGTAGCCCTCAAAGTAGAAGGAAATACAGACTGATTAATAATATGACTGCAAACTCAGAGGTAATGGACAAAAGGCATTAAAGGTAGGATAAGAAATACACATGCTCAGCCAGACCTTGATGGTTGATGTCCGCGTAAAGCAGGGTACGTCCTAGTACCCACAGATGCACCCAATTTCTAGCATCCCATTTACACTCATTCAAATTCTCGGAGCTATTTCCTGTATGCGTCAAACGTAAAACGCCTCAATTCCTTTGGCACCAAGCTTGGAAGTAAGCGATCTTTGCCATACCGATTTGGAAGACATTTGCGATTCCGGAGCGCGGTTCCAATCACCCGTCCCAAAGTTATTCATTTTTATTTTGCCTCGTAATGGTAACACTAAACCATAAAGCAGTAAACCCCTTTCAAAACTATCGCAAGTGGAAGTACATGCACATTTTAGCTCAAATGGGCTGTACCAGCAGGTCGATGCCGCATGATCATGCGGTAAAGCAAGTCATTATATGAATAAGCAAGCCGATCTGCATCAATAAGTACACTTAGCGGTGAGGCTCCCTACAGAATGAAGATTTATGATGTAAAGAATCGGTTCAAACACCGACGTCTCATCCAACAACTATGAAATGGCATACAATCGACAAACCATGATTGCAGGTACCGCAAAATACCAAGACGAAAGCCACATGTCATGGATAGCCAGAAGCACACCAATTCAACTAATCTAACAATAGATTGAGAAGGTGAAAGGAGCTCCAACGATGCGATAAAGGATGGCAATTCAACTCACTTTCGTATTGTTTTCATCCTCACTTACTACCATCGCTTTCAGCCCATGAGGTCTGATGTAAATTCCTAGACCGTTTATAAGGGACATGGCCAGGCACTAAACACACGCCACGGAAACAGCATACATGCAACGAAGGGCACCGATGCAACTCGACCTCAAAAGTAGGGTCTGCAACTTGTTTTACTTTATCGCGGATAATCAATAAACTAAAAACCATTAGTAATTTTGCAGACCCTAAGAGGATTAAAATCATTTAAAAATTTATTCATATGTTTAATACACACTTAAATATTTTGACATTGCTGTTCAAAAAGGCTGTCAAGATGCAGAATCGGTTTCTACTTTAGTCGGGGACTATACACAAATACTACCTGTTTGCATGTTTGGGTTATCTTCTGTTTCCAAGATGTGTTACCCAAATCATTTTAGTGTAACCAAAATGCTTTATAGGTAAATTCAGTAATATACGAAGTGCTTGGCGCCAGGTCAGCCCCGTCCAGCAGATTTTACTTATTCTTATGTGATCTAGAGCAAGATCTCCTTGCCAGTGCGAACATGTATAGCAGTGGAGTCTTACGGGGTGTATTTAAGGTCAAATCTCCAGAACCTTTCCTATGCTCTTTTACCTATTCAAAAAATTGTAAAACAACAGCTCTCTGAGACTTGTTTTGTATGTGATGGAAAGCATGAGACTAACTAGAAGATATGCAACAGAAGTTGGTGTTTCTGATGTGGACTACAGACTGATTTACGCGACGAAGGCACACTCATCGAGGCACAAGTTGAACTTTTGCGAAAACTGAAAACATGAATTCAACGCCCTTAGGTTACCTTATTGATAGTCAAAGACACTAAGCATGACTTAATGCCTCCATTAGACACAAAGAGGATAGAAGAGAGGCCAGGACTAACCTATTCGACAAAAGCACGGGGGTTGCTATAGCGATTGCCATTCACACAGGTAGTTCAGTAAGCAAACTTTAACGCAGTAAATCATGGTATTGCCTTTCCTTTTTCCTTCGCGTTACAACTGCGAATTTCCGAGTTGCACTTGATTTCACGAGCCGTCCCAGTGGCGCAATACTGTTTTGATGTGACACAGACCATATGGAGTAACTTGTAGGGAACACATATAGTCTGAGACCATCTAGTGGATGTCCAGATGTGACACAAATTCGCCTTTTAGCAAGAACCGGGAGCCAGACCAACAACCCACTCACTAAATACGAATCATGATAACTTCAATGCGGGATTAACTCATCCTCTCAAGCATTTCACAGCACCGATATACGGCCTTGACCGTTTTATGCTTTGCTCATTCATATCTTGAACTGAACCTTACGGTGAGGTGTGCTGAAGACAGATAAGAGGACCAAACGACTAATTCTTGTCCTTTTTAAAATTTTGTTAGAATTACAGTGCATGCGACTTGAGGGCTTGACTGCAAAGCCTCTTAGGTGGCCCTTCAGACTCCATACATGGGGACGCCCGCACACACATGATACTCTGATGATGCGATCACATGGTCTTACTTCAATGTAAGGCCTTACCCGGTGGGGTATGTCACCACCTAGAATATGAATGACAGTTACAAGTGAAATTTTATCAATGGAATCTTAAATTTTTAATCCTTGTGCGTTGATTGCAAGTTAGGTGTTAGTTTAAATAGCGAACTGGCCGGTCGGCGTGTCCGCGACATTGTTGCATGCCCAATTGCATGGAACTGCGATGTTGGTCAATGACACAAGAACAGTGAGAGTGTATTTTAGAGGACAGCTTTGGTCAATTATTGTTGGGTAAGACCAGCACTGAAGACAGGGTTCCAAGTTTAGGCAATAAGGTTATTATTCTGTCACTACGGCTACGGCAGAGGATGGTAAGGGGAGAGGCAAGAGTCAGAGTTTAAGTGGAGTCGCCCTTCAAAATTGCCGTAAATCCAGGAGGCTTTAGAGTTCCTAACTAAGTCTCACTTGACAAGAGTAATAAAAGTGGGAACACATATATTCCTGTGTTAGGTACGCCTAATTGGAATGGTTAACACGTGCCACCTGTGCTTCAGCTGAGACTATGGAGCAAACTAGAGTGAATGGAAGGTAAAAGGACACGTCAGAAATTTAATTTCAAATTTATTAGCTTGGTGAGCGCTCAGTAATGACCTCATTTATGCATTTATGCAAAGAAGGCTGAGCACAGATAGCCCAGAGCAAGTAATTTCAACAGACCTGCATTTTGATTAGGGAAAACGTCGAGTGGTGCCTTCTTTGCATTAACTATGCAAAAAACTGGCACAAATCCATGACGAGATAGGGACAGCAGAACTTAGCGCCGTGACTTTATAGCATTGTTGTGAGAGAACCTGAAAGGGCACCCTGCATCATTTAAAGTGACAGCAGTACAACGTACCACCACGATTGCGCACAAACCGAATTTCGTGGAATTGCGCAATCAGGACGCATGACGTAGCTAACAACCCCGTCTTACGCATTGTTGGAACCCAGAGAACGACACTGAGTGAGCCTCGGTAAGGCGCACTCACACTGTGTGAAATCAAAATCGCGCAGTGGAATAGGTCTTGCAGATATCGCCTCCGCCAGAAGAGCTTACTCCAACTCCCATTTCATCTAACCTCGTGAGGCTCCGTCTCAATGTCACAGTTTTGCCACCTTTCCCCCTACACGTGCGACTGCACTGCCCTGAAAGGCAGAGTCCTGGACACTGGCCGATCACCTTGCAGAAGTGACTACTGGATTTGATGGCAGACAACTTATTCCCCATGGTAAAACGGCCTTACGCAATCATCAAACCAAAGCTTTCCAATCTACCTGCAAAAGCTTCCATAACCTTGCTGAGGCTTGAAGGACTGTGAGTTTACCAACAGCATCAGCTGCATTATCTTCGAAAGGCCGTGGAACATGACAAAGTTCTTTGCATGAATGGGATTTGAGAAAATTCCCGTAATTACGTAGGCAAGAAGAGACAGGTGAAAAAGGCAGTCACGCAAACCGTCGAGCAATTTTGAATTTCAAGCAAATCGAAGAGATTTGCCCACTTTAAGATTTTTGGTGATGTGGTCGAAGTCTGCACTTAACAGTGCCCAATGGAACAGAATTGGGATAGTGAACGACAGATAACACTGCTTCTATGAAACCCTCTCTTGGAGACTTCACAATATTAGTCATCCACAGCCCCTTCAACATTTCAACAGGAACTGATCTACCTCCGACATATCAGCAGGCGTCTGACAACAGTGTCCCACCTTTCACAGAAAGCATACGAACAAGGGATTGAGAAGAAGACTTTGTTGCCAGTACACCAAAAGGGATGTGGAAGGAGAAAAGAGCTTCTACCGACCAATTACAGGTTGCAGATATCGGAATAAAGCAACTGTGCCGACTTAAACTACTACGCATAGGAGAACTTCGGATTCCAAAACCTAATCATCAAACCAATAAATTGTTCAAAAATTTATCAGACGATCCATAAAAGCTTTAATTAGTGAAAGTAAAAATACTGCGTAGAAAATGACACATATACACAGGACAACTTATTGGCGAGTCCAAACAGCTTCAGGCCCACAACTTTATGTAGCGCAAATCAAATCGAAGGGAAGGTGATCTACACTGCATTGTACAGAGCATAGTAGGCTCCCTTCGCCTCCAGCAAAGCACTCGGTGTGCCCCACTCTACTGCTTTCCCGTGCTCTAATACCACCACCATATCACAGGCTTCTACTGTAGTGAGTCGATGGGCCACCACCAAACACGTCCGTCCGCCCTTCTTCATCGCCTTGTCCAGAGCTGCCTGCACTACCCTTTCACTCTCATTATCCAACGCTGCTGTCGCCTCGTCCAACACCAGTAGTTGTGGATTCCGAACCAATGCTCTGGCTATTGCGATTCTCTGCTTCTGCCCTCCAGACAATCTGCATCCTCGCGCTCCCACCCGTGTTTCATATTGCTCCGGCAAGTTGGTGATGAAGTCGTGCGCGTTGGCCTGTTTAGCCGCTTCGATTATCACCTCCATGGGTATACCAGACATCGCGTCTCCTGCCTCCTCCAAACGGTAGTTGAGACCATAGGCTATGTTCTCTCGGATGGAGAGATCAAGGAGGTTGGGCTCCTGTGACACCACACCGATTTGCCGACGAATCCAGTTGGGTGCAAGGGAACGAGCATTAGCGCCATCGAAAATGACACCCTCGGTGAAGTCTGTGTTAGAGGGATCATAAAAGCGTTGGACGAGCTGAAGGACAGTTGATTTTCCGCAGCCAGACTGACCAACAAGAGCGACGCTCTTGCCTGGAGGGACCTTGAACGTGAAACCCTGTTGAAGAGAAGGGTAGATAAAAGCACAACAATTACCAATTACCAATCAGTGAAAGACCGCTTTAATGAGGGCTTGCAAAAAAATAGCCATGGTACGGCTGAACTGTATTAACATAAATTCAGACTGGCGATTTCCTTGAATACGAAGTTTCGGATGGCGAAAGTGTTGTAACAGAAAGTACACTTGTATTGCTGTTTCTCTTGGCCACACCAAAGGCAAGCAGATTCGTTGATTAACCGAATGCAAAAGACTAGATCCCACTTCAACAATTGGATTCAAAACCATTGTGTTGCAAGGGGCTTTGTTCATAGATGACTGAATTTGGGAAGACTCGAGTCCGAAAATTATCGACTCATGACGACTAGTCAATAAATTCAAATGTCCAAGCCTAGCATGGAGGAGAGAACTATGGAAGAGATGGGACACCGAAAGTGAATTTCAAAACATTATAGATGAGTCCATAAAGCACCACTCTTCACGTCACTACGGTTACCGATTCCTCTCTCCAATCAGGTTCAGAGACCGTTTAACAAGATGCCTCACACGAACAAAGTCGAGAGGTGAGTCATGCTTGACCCACCTCCCACATTGACGAATCAATCACCTTACCTTGCTCGCAGCATCAGACCCTCCGCAAGCCTCACGATCCTTTTTTTAGCCATCTCTACCCAGACGTCAATCACGAACACTAGAGCTATGGACGTGATTTTGTGGCCAAATTACATTTGATTCATTGGGTCATTTGACCATATAGACCCTGCACTCTGCCCTTCAAACCTATATGCTGGTCCAACGAAGTTCCGACAGCACCAATTTAATACTGCCTCCGCATTGATAGTCAACCTTTTTGCATATAAATATGCTTCATGGAAGATCTACTTTGCACTACAATGCATTGTATCGTTCAAGTAATTGCTGTGCAAGCGTAACACCTTCTTATCCCCATTCTCCTCACCTTGAGAACGGAAACCTGCTTGCGCGTGGGATAGCGGAAACTAAGGTTGTTGAAAACGAGATTCCCTGTGAAAGAGCAGTGGGGAAAGTCGCCGTAGTCAGGCTGCAGATGGGGCTGACGATGAATGATGTCGAAAATGGCTTTCGCCGCTTTTGACGCCTTCTTGGCGTCGGGAGCGAAGGACGCCGCGTAGCCGAGGCTGGAGGCTGCAAAACTGATGGAGGAGAAGGATCTGTGGAAGAAAGAATACATTCTAGTTCCATACATCGAGACCATTGACGAGCGCAAGCTAAAAACGCATCCTTCCCCCCTTCCCCCACCCTGATTATCTTAACATTTTGCTTGACATACCGCCAAAGCTGTAATATGGTAATGTCGCCTCTTTCGAGAAGAATTCCACCCAGATAGAAGACACCGCTGAATTCGAAGGCCATCAGTGAATTAGCGATGGCATTCACCAAAGCATAGCGTGCCACACCTTTGAGGATTTGGCTATAAAGTAGAGAGGATGTGTAGGAATTCACTCCGCAACCACGTAATAAATATGCATTTGCCAATCAATTCAATCGACCTTCCTGTTATTATTTTGAATACCTTAAAACCATCGAACCATCATTGCAGTGCTACCGACATTTATCCATCAAACTTATTAACAAGTAGTTCTTGCTTTTAACTACCCTCTCGCCAAACAAACCGCTGACTCCGCTATGAATCACCATACTTCCCTTTCCGTTCGCTCACCGATCACGCAATCGCAAAGAGAGAAACAAAGAGGGAAAACACTCCATAAGCTTCCGACACATCAATGAGTTGCCAGATTAGGTGTTATTTTAACTATTTTTCCATTCACTCATTTGGACAACAAGAAATCAACCCGATTGACCACTAGAATTACAAGTCAATTACACAAATAGAACATCTTATAAAATAATGATCATCGTTAAATACTAGTGACATCAAAATTAAGACTCACGAGTATGAGAGAAGAGCCTGGCTGGCGTATTTTTCAGCAAAGTGCTTCTCAGCCTGCAACGCCGAGACAGTTTTGGAGGTAGAGAAGACTTCTTGTGCCACAGATGCACCTTTAACACTCTTCTGGGCCACCTCTGCACTCCAAGTCTGCATCTGGAAACAACAAGGAGAACTTGAGACCAAACCAACCTAAGCCCACATTGAAAAGGACTATTTTACCGTTGTTGGTTGAACATCACGCCAAAATCCGCAAGAAACGAAGCATCTGTTGCATATGCATGAATATGCGTAAAACCATGTCAAAAGGTCACAATATCATGAAATGGGCTTTAAAGCTTCTCGTGATTGGGATCCCACCTCGGTAGCATGAATGTATATCAGCCATAGCATCCAGGCGACCAGCTTTCTACTCAGGGTTGACAGCGCCCTCGGCTGCAAAACCAGTATCACACACTGCGAAGCACAAGATTACGCAGATACTTAAGCATGGATGATCGACCTCTCAAAGGAGGAGCAATTCCAACCACATCGATTGCCTAGGCACCAAATTTGGCTTACGGTTACACACCAAGACCAGCGGAAACAAGATATGGAATGAAAGGCTTCCAGCGCTGCACAACACTTTGCCCCATTCGAAATATATATTTTAAGCAACTTCGCTGCTATTGATTAGTTAACTTAGCTAGGTGCCAAATGCTGACAGGTGCTTTCAAAAAGCTATATTAAACCCTTGTCCATTGTAAACACAGCAAGGGACTGGATATTGAAGAAATAGTGGACAATTTGAGAGGCTGTTGATGGCAACCGGTTATTCTACCATAGAAATACCACATCCATCCATTGCACACATTTCTATCTATTAACTCGCTTAACTAAACGGCTACACGTTCAAGCTACTTGCAAACTTTCAACCATTTGTCGATCGGCTTGACGAGAAAAAAGAATCCCAAACAAACCTCAAATGCACCAGCAATGACTAGAATAGGGAAGTAGGCAAGGGAGACAAGGGCGATTTGCCAACTGAAGAAGAACCCGATGAAGAGAGAAGCGACAATGAGAACGAATGTCTCCAACATGGATGCCAACCTACGACTCGTCAAGTTCTGCAACGTTGGCACATCAGCTGCCAGCCTGCCTGTCAGGGCGCCTGGCTGATTCTCTGGCTTGTCAAACCATCCAACCTCCTACGAAAGAAAGGAGGAAATATGGAGGCATGAGCTAAGATAGGTTAAAAACGTTAGCATTATGTCTTCAATCCATACACCCACTTTTGTCGTCATTGGACTTGTCAAATCCAATAGCCTGATAACACGTCGACCTTTACACAGTTGAGCATTTCCGAGTACGCAAGCAGTCTTGCGTGCACAGCCGTTGCTGCCAACCCACTATTGCCAGAAAGTGTCGGTCTGTCACTGATCTGTAACACCCCAGTGACCGCCTTTTCAAACCACATGTGACACCTCCGCAGTCAATCTGCCCGTGTGGGAACCATTCAACTACTCAAGTTATGGCATTCATAAACATTGCCAGCAATACATACATCCACCCAATCACCCATCTTAACTCCCAATTTTTTTCGTTTTTTAGCAAATAGCCAACCAAACTCTGTATGCTACCTTCTTCCTCAGCATTTCATGTGGCGCCTTAACAACCCATCCACTCACTCTATTACGTACTCAATATTCAATTCACTCATCCGTGGATATAAAAATTAATCTTCTACTTCCAAATTCATTCACACCGAGGAGAAAAAGCTGGGGTTCTTTAAAGAATGATTCCAGATTTGAGCTTTCGTCTACAACCATAAGATAATTAAAAACTTGCCTGTTTGAGAATGGTCTCAAAGAGGAGAATTCGACAGCGAGTTGTCAAACGCCCGCCTGCTACGCCGAAGGCGTATCCCTGTAACAGTCCGGAACAAAAATACATATGCAGGACTGTGAATCACTACTTTGAAACTTCACCAGAGTGCAAGTAACCGAATATCTCAAGGAGAAGATGAGGTAAGACAATGCTAAAGAGACGAAAAATTGAACTTTAAAGAACTGAACCCATATTCATCCGGCTGGTAGAGGGATCTTGGATTCACATCCTCGTAGTAAATTGCGAACCCAATTACCCTCGAAATACTGGATACTCCAACATAACTTTCCAAACGGGTCGCTGTGTCCCCATCATTACGGATTAAGGCATGAACTATATGGAAACCAACATTATAGGGCAGGTTGGTGGATGTTTTTGTGTTTACGGACTGCAACGGAAAGAGGAGAATTGAGTATTCTAGCCGAGGGTATTGAGCTTCAAAGCAAATCTGTCACCAACTTCCTAAGTTTGTTGATGCGAGTGCGGATGAATCTTTCCAGCATCAGAGATTGATTAGTACAAGTTACGGGATGGCAATTTGAGAGACAACAAATAAGACGTATTGAATACATTGCTGGCTTCAAAGGTGGTTTAAAATGGTCAAGCCGTAAATGTTGCAAAATAAAAATCCATTATTCAACGGTCTGCGGTATAAGATGCAAAGCTTCCTGATGGTGACAGAATAATAATAAAGAGAGTACTAGAAATGAGCAGTGTTCACAGTCTCACGTTAATAGTGTAGCAGATGAGGCGGAGAGCGGCTAGGCCACCAAAAGCACCACAAATGACAGAAGTGCGGTCAAGACGTGCTTGAGTTTCGTTTACAAGAAAGATCTGCAAAGAGAGGGAAAGGAGTAAAGTAAGGTACATAATTGCCTTTCCATCCACTTCACCTCACTTTGTCATACGACTTGTCTCTTGGACAGCAATGGCTAACAATAGGCACCCCGACATAGGCTTCTCCATGAAGTTAGCCAACCAAGTAAATGACACATCGTCTCCAGAGAAGCCCGACCCTCCTGAACATGCACATATTGAGCTTAGTTAACAAACTAATCTACCAACAACCTGTTTTCGCTTCTCTCAGACTCCTTCAAATAAGAACGAACCGATGAGGAAAAGACGAAATCTCCAACAACCTAGGCCTCTAATTTTCCAATCTGAGTATTCATTAAGAAGATGAGTGTTTTTAACTCTACCGTGTTTGCTAATTTCAACAAATCGCCTTGGCATGCATGAATTAACGAGCATTTGAGCGATTCACACATTAATGTTGGTAATCAACCATCCTCTGAGAGCATAGCTGGAACCGTGCTAAGTTGAAGCTTTTGAAATGCCTTTAATCTGGAGGCATAAGTAAACCGTGTACGTCCTTAAATAGCAAGGAGAGTGTGAATTTAAAAGGGCAGCACTTACATCGTACATCTCCGTGTAAACGATAACAAAAGCAGCCTGCGTTCCACCAATCAAGACCGAGGTGATGCAACCCAAGACTATGTACCATCTCTCCGGTGCGTTCAATCGCAAAACTTCCAAGAAGGTGTTAGGTTTCTTCCCCACCACCTAAGCAGCCCAACATTAGCGAAGATAAGACAACGCCGCAATGAACTCAATGCACATCAGAAGTCAACTAACTAGCAATTCACTTCCTCAATGCTCTGAACTACTTATTCTACCATTAATCTCAGCCTTTTAATCCACTGTCTCTAAAGAAAAAAAAACGAAAATCATTCTAGCTCAGATACAAGGTTTAGAATTCACGAAAGTAACCAACAACAGATAACCAACAAACAACCAACTTACCATATCTTCAAACGGTTCACTCAGTGAGGACCAGACCGTCTTGCCTTCAAAATCACCATCTTCAGCGGGCTGCAATGGGCGAAGCTCATAAGTTTAAGAGAATTTCCGCCAAATCTGATCAAAGACCAGCAAACACCTCAAATGAGGACTCACCACTTGATCACCTTTTTCCTGATCCTAAAATGTACCAAATTTAACAACTTGTACAACTTTACGTTTCCGCAGACGTTATGATCAACCCAGCAAATCACTAGTTGCAAAATCATGTCGAAGCTAGTGTCAACTAAAAAAGCAACAAAAAAGAAACATCAAATTCGACCTAACACCGTGATTGCAATGCCTAACGAACCAGTTCAACTAATTCACACATATGTCAGATCCAGGTGCCCTCCATTATTCGACTGTGAAACTTGGAGTCCTGCACCCGAAAAGCCTTTCACCCTATTCATCAGTAGTGTCAAAAGATCTTCCGACTACTGCCGAACCTTTATTACCTCAACACAATTCGTGGTTCAACAGAGCAAATAATGAAATCTACTCTGTGAAAATAATAAAGTGCTCACCTGTCCAAGAAGTGCACTTAATAAGAAAACTACGAGATACAAGAAATATTTCATCCCTCCCAGAAGGCTAACCTGCTGAGCAGCTCTAATGATCTCCTCAACATTGTCGTCGTCACCGATGTCCTCGTCCGATTCATCGCTCTTTTCCTTTAGCTACAAAGAAAGAATAAATACACTTCCATTTCTATTCCTTGAGAAAGGCAATAGTAAGGCGCCAAGACCAAATAAAGTAAACCACTAAGGTATGCCCCGCTTTTAACACATCGACAGTAAAGTCAACTGTTCAACGCACTCCACGCATCACCAAATTGGCATAAACTCCAGCCCGCGCCATCAGCTCCTCATGACTGCCTGCCTCCACCACGCGTCCTTTCTCCATCACCAAAATTACATCAGCATCTCGCACTGTCGAAAGTCTATGCGCCACCGTCACTGTAGTCCTTCCTCTCTTCGCCTCACCCAATGCCACCTGTACCGTTTTCTCCGATTTCGTGTCCAACGCAGACGTCGCTTCATCTAGCAGCAGCAACTTCGGATCTCGAATAAGAGCTCTCGCAATCGCCACACGCTGCTTCTGACCTCCAGACATGCCCCCTCCCCCATCCTGTGCCACGAATACGGTCTCGTATGCCTCGGGTAGCTTCGAGATAAAATCATGGGCATGAGCCAGCCTGGCAGCTGCTTCCACTTCAACCAAACTCGTATCTGGTTTTCCCAAAGAGATGTTCTCCATCAACGAGCCTGAGAAAAGAGTGGGCTCTTGCGACACCACTCCTACGCAGGACCGCCACCACGCGAGATCAAGATCGCGCAAATCGACACCATCGATTGTGATGCGACCAGAGTCAGGATCGTAAAGCCGCTGCAGCAGTTGAATGAGCGTGCTTTTGCCCGAACCACTAGCGCCCACAATGGCGAGATTTTGACCTGATCGCAGGTGCCACGAGAAGTGATCAAGTACAAGAACTTCAGGGCGGGTGGGATAGGAGAAGCATACATCCTCAAAGACAATGTCACAACGGACCGATGAAAGACGGACCTTTTCGTCGTTGGGTCTCTTATCGATGGGCGGAACCTAAACAAAGGGAAGCATATATGAGCAAATTGTCAATAGTGAACCAACCACGTTCTTTGGCAATGTTTACTGCAATTATAGAACCTGTATTGTCTCGATTATCTGAACCTGAAGCCAGCAATGCAGTATTGCTCTGCGATAGATGCAAGAAAGAAAGACAAATCACAAGCAAATTAGTTGGAACTAAAATAACAAAGAAATTTGAGATCCTTCTTGTCCCCTGAACAGAGGTGTATCCTTAGAGGTGTATCAAAAGTTGAATTAATCAACAAAGATGTGTAGGGGAGTTGGTGAGTAAAATAAACGCAAAAGATCTGAAAAAGAACGATCAAATGGTCAAAAATTCGCAGTAGAAAATGAAAATGATGGAAAGTGAGACAATTGTTTGGGTCCACGAACGGATAGATGAAGAAAAGTCGTTGAAAGGACTGATGATCTAATCAGACGACTAAAAAGGATTTAACAAATGCAAATCAAAGACCAAGTGCAAGTTTTATCTTACTCACTCGGTCGATGATAGGGAAGAGCTCGCCAGCGGCAGTGACGGCGAAATTGAAATAATCGAATTGCTGGAAAGCCTGACCTACAGTAGCCCCAGCAAAAAGCATTGCCAACACCACCAGAATAATCTCGCCCGGGTCAGAAGTGCCACGTCCCAGCATGATGATACCGTAGTAGAAGGTCACTGCCATCAACACGTAGATCGACGCATCTGTTGCTCCTAAAACTACCAAAATAAACCACCCTAAACTTGAACTCAAGTTTGAATAAATTAAACAAATGAATCCCTAGGTCGATCGCACCTTGATGAGTCTTGAGTCTAACAAAATGGACCATTTCCATGTGGAATGAGAAGCCATCCTAAGCCTTCACCTTTGCAATTTCGATGTCATCCAGAGTTTGCTTCCTCTATATCTGCTCAAAACCTTATTAAGCATCCTGCATGCTATGGAAGGGCCCAACGCGATGTCAAACATTACTTAAGCTTCCCCTTACCAAATCCGAAGATGGTGGAGCGTTTCAGTCCGACATTCTCCGCCTCCGACAACTCCTCCGAATAACGCTTAGTTTCACGCGCCTGTCCTTCAAACGCAAAAATTGTCTTCACCGCTCCCAGCACCTCTCCCGCAATACCATTAGCTCTTGAGTAGGCGGCGCGCTCCTTCGCGCTCAGCTTTCTCACGATGAAACCCACAGCAGCGAAGGAAGCACCGACAAGAGGAAAGAAGGCTGCCGACACCAATGCCAGTTCCCAGTTCTTGATTAGGCTGATTACCACACCACCAATGAAGACAAAAAGGTTCTGAACAAACAAACCCGCCTTCTCACCCACCCCTGCCTCGATCTTGTCCACTCCTTCGGTCAATCGAGTTATAAGAGCACCCACATTAGCAGTGTCAAACCAGGCCGCGTCCTGGCTCAAAACACTCTAACAAAAAACTAGAGATGCACCGAAACCGAACTAACTGAAAAGAACAGATACCGTATCTGCCTTGCCTGTCTCCGAGCGCAAAACTGCAGGCAGAACATTTGTAAGTAGGCGACTGCGAAAGTAACGGCACCCAATATGGCCATTCTCTGAATGACGCTTACAAAGCCACTTAGAGTGGGAGAAGTGAAATCATTGACTAAGTCAGAGAAGAAAAGTAGTGACAAGGGTGAAGAAACGCCAATCAGGGCACTGGCAACTAGGCCAACGATGAACATTACAATCTCGAACAGTGAAGCATATTTGAGTAGTTCATAGTAATGGACACGAGCAACGATTTCGTCTCTAGTTTAAGAGCATGCTGAAGAAAAAAAAGGTTACTCATAGAAGTCTCCTTCCACCTCTACAGAGGGTGACGACTCATCCATCGCAAAACATCCAACGAGAACGCGGATTCGCAACTATGACCAGCACTTACTAATGCGGCTTACTTAAAGCTTCACAACTCTTTTGAAAAAACGGAGAGGAAGGCCCATTTAAAATATGATTAATTTGGAAAACTAAAACAATGGTACGAATTCTGCGAAACGTAAAGATTACCTGGTGATTTACAATATATTTGTTGCACAAAGCTAGACGCATAAATAAAATAGTATTATATAATACTTTGGCTGCACTGCCACTGTGGTGTAAACCAACAATCAGGTATCCTACAGAGTTTTTCGTGGTTTAAAATGCAAAATGCTACGCAGCGGACCGGCATTATCTTCTAAGTAGTGTTAAGCATAAAGTTACAGTAAAAATAAGCCAACACTATCATTAAAACTTAAAATTGCAACCATTTGCAATTTTGGGTTTACGATAGGTACATAATGAAAGGTATTTAAACCCACTTACTCGCCTGGTGGTGTTAGGCCCTACCTTACCTTCGCTTATATTTAACGACTAACGAAGCCTCCGTCCCCTTGCAACTAACAGTAAATTGGGTGACCAGATAACTGTCGTCAAATATAATAAGCTGCTCATCCGTACCCAATAAAAAACTGCTCATGTTCTCAGCATTGGACTGCAACCTTGTGTAGGACGTGTCTTCAGGTCACTAAGGTTCGCACACATACACTTGATCCCATTAAACCGAGTTCGGGTGAGAATTTGAAGGTCATCCCCAAAATGAAAGTTAAAATTCACAAAGCTTGGCAAACACTCATTACCGGTGCTTTTTTAGTGCAGAGAGTAGTAAGAATTTTGGCTCAGGTGCGAATGTAGGTCCCTCTGGGCGCAAGGTCTCATTTGCATGCGTTACCACACACCTGCCCACTTCTGTGCGAAGTCATCACTGGAGTAAAGAGAAGAAAAATGCGGAACAACTGGGCTGTGAAGACGTGTACTCATTTGTTGTTCATTGAATGATTCACAGGCACATACAGTTGAATTTCGACCACCCGATTTGTGGCCACATCCTGTAGCGTCCCGAGACTACTCACTGGTGGATGAAGGCAATAAGTGAAGCTGGATACATGTAGTCCGAAGAGAACAAAGCGACTATGCCTGAGCCAGCCCACGAGTACCAGGACAAGACAAATCCTTAAGTGACTGCCAAACGTCATGTGATCACATAAACGAAGCATTACATATCCCATCTAAATTTTAACCAAGACTTCTGTTGTACCGATCGAGGACGTGATCTTGGGCTTGTGTATTTACCGATCATGCTGACGATACAACGGTTTCTTCGTCGCCTTGGTTTGTGCAATCACGTGTCGGCAAGTGTAACAAAAGTCAATGTATAGCATGTTAAGAAGTACTTGCAGCGCTTGACATGTGACGCCGAACCGTTCAGATGTAAATCAGTATGATTGCTGCTATCACAAAAGGCAACTGCAAAATTACTGCAATTACACTTAATTGATATTGTTGTGCAAAGTGGTCAGCCAGTATGGAGGACGTTCACTGTGTGATGAGCAGAGGTAGAAAGTCACGGAATCGCTTGCTAATTCTTGTCTTTACTAAAGCTTGCAGGCACATGCTCATCGCTTAAAAAGGCTGTACTGCTTCTTAACATTATTGAGGTTGCGAGTTGATTCGTGGACTGATCAGTGGATGGGAATGGAGGAAGCCTATCAGCCATCTGTTGGGCGTACCTGACCCGGATGTTCATTTTGCTGTTCTGCACATTGGGTTTGGTGTTGGAAAAGCACTTGAATTTCGGATTTCCTTTCCCACCATCATGACTGTAGGAGTTTCCTTGGGAATGCACTGAGGTCAGAACTTCGGGCGGAACAAGTGTCTCTTTTTTGCGCTGTGAGATGTATAACTGCGAGGAGGATCGTTCCACTACCAACAGCTTTGCACGTCTGACTGGCTTTTCAAACAGCCACTCCCACGTGTCTAGGGAGTCGGTGGCGTTAGAGGTTGGGAAGACTCTGCTTCCGTACTATCGCGTGCATCCAGGTCGCAATCGATTTGGGTGCAGGGGCCACTGTGTGATGAGTAGACAATTAGGTCTGTTCTACCTCACACTCTTCCTCTTGTTTGGGTTGAGTGGTCTGTTCTTTGCCTTCGACGCACGGTACCTCACGACTAGTCTAAGCCCTGCAGTGCCTGCTGTTGGAGGTGTGCTCTTCCTCTTCGTCTTGTTTGTCCTCCTTCGCACGAGTTTCTCTGACCCCGGAATCCTGCCTCGTGCCACACCGGTGGAGGTGCGGTGGATGGAGGGTAAGTCGACGTTGGTGTGTGTGAGCTTTGTTGTTGCATCATTTGAGAGTGGATGGCAGAGTGAGACCTGAGGAGGAATGGTCGGCGCAACAGTAAACAATTTTTGAATGATAGTATCTGTCAATCAGGTGGTTGAGATGAAGTGGGGGCTCTGAGTGAGAGGGTCGCTGGGAGCATTAAGGGAGCGTTGCTTTGGTGAGGCAAGCGAGTCGTCGTTCGGTGCTCGCCGGATCTGCGGTCGGTGCTGCGTATATCATCAAGCCTGAATCGGTGTTTGTGTATGGCGTGGTGCCTGCCATGAAGTGTAGACAGGGAAAGTTGGAATGTGTCTGTTATCCGTATGCTTAAGTGCTTGTATAGCATGTTGCTTAACAGTTGTATTGTTCTATCGCTCCTCTGATGTTGGTTAGGGGTGGTGTTGATTCTCTCGGAAATTTATTGGGGAAGTTTGTTGCATTGAGGTAGTTTGTGAACGGCGGTGTTGTATGAGTTATGCGGCACCCACTTGGGTTACTTCTGTGGTGTATGACTGCCGTGACGGTGGGTTGGGGAAATGCGTAGGTTTTTGATGTGTTGCTATGTGGTGTGGAGACTGCTAGAGATGGTGGATGGGATGAGGGAAGTTTTGTTTCGTTTAGATTTGTTTGTGCCTCTTTGAGTGTGGGGAGCGTGGAGGTATACTTTATTGGAGGCTTTTAATTGGGGTCATTTGCACGCTTTCGTGCTCCACTCCTTTAGTTGTTGGTGTTGGTGGGTGAGGAGATGTCGGTGAGAGTTTATAGAGTGTATTGTTTAGAACGTGGTAGTTTGTTCAATTTGTTCATTGGTAGGTCTTATCAGGATGACTGGTGCACAGTATTGCTCTGCATGTATGGAATTCGTGGTTTGTCGACTGGACTCTGACTTAGTTGTTAAAGTTGGGTAGCGCATGGCGGTTTCACAGTCAAGATTGCCAAGGCATAATGTTTAATTTAGTTATCAGTGTGTGTGTGGACAGAATTGGGTTGTGTAGATGTTTTTTGTGTGATAGGAGTGTTGTGAATGAGAAGTAGGGGGTGGAGAGTGGCGGTGTCTGCACGGTGGTGGCAGCGGAAGGTGAGTTGTTGACTGGTGGTAGTGAAGACGATTCGGAATAGGGGAAGGAGTAGCGGTGGAGACGATCAACAGTGACGCGAAAAGGATTGGATCGGGGTTATTTGTATGTGAATGGCGAAGTTAAAGTGAGACGGTGGTTATTGTCGGGTGGTGGTGAGGAGAGGAAGTCGTCATTTGCAATGTCTGGAGGTTTGTTTACCCTTCGTGTTTGTGCGCATCAATTGTATTCATAAGTTGAGGACTATTGGCCTTTGGGTTTACTGTGAGTGAATTCCCTAAATGTGGTGTTGGAAACTAGTGGCAGTAATTTGCACGTCGGGTATCTAAGTGTTAAATGTTTTAATGTGGGTAAATGTGAGTCGTTAAGAGGTGTTTTCTGCTTTTTACGAAACCACCTATTTTTTTTATTTCTTGGTTTTAATGTAAAACATTCTTTTGGTTTAATTTTTTTAGCATGGCAATAACAAGTATATGAACGTTAGAAGGTGAGATGTACCACACCACTTTCGTCGTATTGTGCTTGTGGTTGCGAAGTTTTGCAAGCATTTGCAAGTGTAGCCTCACCATTAGTTAGACAGCCACGACACCAATCCACTTGTTAATGGTGCCGGTGGTGTTGCCGGACTCGAGTGAGCGGCAGTGAACGAGTTAATGAGGCAGCGGACATGGTCACAGTTAATGTTACCCTACTCTCTGTCTCGAAGACCCATGGACGGATCCGTGCATGCCGGCTGTAAAGTTCATTGCACCTTCGTTGGTGGAGTGTGAGGTATAGTTGCATCCTTTAAATTTCCTGTCGAAACGAAAATCGGCTTTGTCAAACATTTCCCTCAACAAGACGAATGACTTGTGCACATGGTCTCTGTGAAGTGTATGCACCCGGAGCGTTGGTGTGACTGATGTTTTGCTTGTTGTTAGAGGAGATACTCGGCTCGTTGGACGACCAATGCCTCCGCTCCACAATCCCCAGTCGGGAGATCAGGATACAGGACTTTCCCTACAATCAGGTCTACTGCCACACTTGCCGCATCTATCGGCCGCCAAGAACGTCGCATTGCTCAATCTGTGATAATTGTATAGGCAAGTGATGACTCCTGCTTTCCTCTGTTCCTCTTTCCTGTTGGTAGTGCGAACCGGATTTAAGAAGAGGACGCGAAGGAGGAGGTGGGACATGGCGATAGGCGTGGTGTGGGTGGTGTAAAATTGGAGAACTGACAGCATGGAGAGTATAGGCTTTTACGCAAAAATGATTTGATGATGCTCTCTGATCAGCAACTAAGGCTGTGGCAGTTGTTGTGTTGTCGTCTAGAATGCCGCCCTCATCATGACAAAGCAACTGTGGCGAAGTTGTGTTGGAAGCGGCAGTCGATTTGCATGCCTCTACGCGCATCTTGCCGAATGCTGAATGGCAAGAGCTCTACTTTTAAGTTTTTTATGCTACCTGCTACTTGCATACGGAATTCGAATTGTCGATGCAAATGTTGACATTTCTAGACTGCCAAGATGGAGGTGGAGATAGAGGGGGAAGAGGAGGGAGGGGATAGGGCAGAATTGCGAGTGATGCTGCCTCTTGCGCTTTCTTCACTTCCTCATCCCCTCCATTTCTCTAACCCTACTCCATCAACTTGCAAATCATGACTTATCTTCACTTGACACTGGTTGCGGGCCATCACATGACTACTTGTGAAGGGTGGAGGTAGGGTGGTGTTGACGCAGGCTGTCATAATCACTGAAGGTGTTTCAATGCATGACGTTTCACACACCTGGCAGTTGCAGTACACTTGGGCCCGATTGAGGTGATAAGGGGCAGCATTTGTGGAGTTGACCTCACATTTCGTTAAGCATTGTAGTGGAATGCTGATGGCAATCCACGAATTCTTCCTTTCTTTTGCTTTATGGAGGGACATTGCTAAGTAACGATGCTAGGATTTCCTTCTCAATGTCATTTGTGCGAGCTGTCAATGCGCCTGCTCTGTCCCTGTGTGTGTGCGTGTGCGTGTTTTTGTGCGTGGGTGTGCGCAATTTGTTGAAGGAGAACGATGGACTTTGACTTGTGGATGCACTGAGGGTGTTTACACATTCAACTTCACCTCCCTCACTGTGCTACTCAACATCTTTTGGATTGTGCGATGTGGAGGAGGTGTGTCACGGTCATCTCTGGGTAGCAGAAAATCTTGTTGATGGATTGGCTGAGTGGGAGGTTGTGTTCGTGTTGCCTGTGTTGCCTGGGTCAAGAAGTGCTCATGGGGAAGACGGGTGTCGGGCGAATACGTGTGCGGTGAAGTCGGCTGCCTTCATCTTCCTCTGCACGTGAATGGACATTACGGTGGTGGTTGTGCAGTATCAGTATTGCGCTTCGTTGGGTTTGATGCAGACGTGGAGCGATGCATGGGTTGCTGGGTTAACATCGCTGATTGTCTGCTTTGTCACACTAATAGCCACATTGGAGTGTGCCTGAAGGAATGAGGGAGACAAATGAATTGGTAGACGCTTTGGTAGGACGAACAAAGGCTACTTGCGCTGCAGGAGTAAGAGGTCACTTGGGTGACTCATGGGTGGACTTTTATTAAGCTCCCTTCTTCGAAGCCAATGGGGGAGTAGTCTTAGCCACCATACCTCTTATCTTGTGCGTATTTTTCAACTCCTTTCTTTTTATTCCCTGATTGCTCCACGATGTCATGGTGGTAATTTGATCATACAACTTAACTAGCTGCTCAATCAACTGTTGCTATTCGTTGAGTAAAACCAATGAGCAACCACTATTGCTACAAGAGGCAGTTTTACGTGTGGGAGAATTTGGTCTCACAATAGAACAGTGCGAACATCCGTTAGGTGGTTGAAGAGTTACAGGAGGCGCCATAAAGTAATGGCAAAGCTGAAACCAGTACTGTTGGGGAGAGGATCATAACGGGTATTTTAGCTGCAACCTGAGCATGGATTGGTGGTAGGGGATAAGGTGGGCAGAACCACTCCATCAGCAGAGAAGATGTTGTTTCACCGCGAAACCACAAGCATCGCATGCGACACCACTGAAGTGTACGTCAGTGTTGCCTCAAGTGCATCGCATTATCTCGGTTCCAGCATTGGTGCAGTCCATTGCCCCAATAGCGGAGCTGGGGGATGGAGGAGGTGAGGGAGAAGGGTAAGAGCAGTCGTCAAGATGGCGAGCATTGTTTGCACATGCGAAAGAGCTCTTATGATGTAAGCGCGTGCTTATGTATTGGCGTGGAGAGGAGGATGTAAGACCACCACCATGGTATGCGTAGTCTTTCTTTTTCCTTCGTGACTGCCACCGAGATGAGCGTGTATTTTCTACGCGTCTACGTTTGACGAGGTCGTCATTTTTAATAGAAGTGCTGCGAAACTATTTGACGTGGCTCAGTTTACTCCACAGGATATTTCAAAAATTGCAATTTCTCTCCCGACTTTCTCATTGTAGACGAGGCTTCGACATCCCGGCTTCGTTACTTTGTGTGGGCTATTCGTAATACCTATCAAAACTTTTCTTTTTTGTGTGGCTGCTCGGGACGACTCCTACTGCATGGGGATTAGAACTCTTAAAATGACTACGTTCTCCACATCCATCTTTACCCTTAATCGAGCATCATCGCCATCATCGAATGCTGCCATGATTGCATAGTGAATTGCTTCCCAAAATTAATGTGGTTGCCTCATTCCCACAGCTGAATAAATCAACCTGATGCCTAATTGGTGACTGAGTGTTACGGAGAGCTCAACCGGCCTAAATGTTCCTGTCAATGCGACCGGTATAAGAGGCGCCAATTTGTTGGCACAGGTTGGAGTGGATGATTAGTTGCATGGCGAGCCGATTGAATGCTCAAATGATTAGTTGAGCGGCCAAGACTGGTATCAACCGATGAGAATGGTTCCGTGCTTAAGTATATGGCAATGGTGTCTAGAATATGGAGTGAATTGTGTGTGAGTCGAGTTGAAATTGCGCTCATTTGCAGGCCTTGGCACGTCTACTTGTATGATGATGAGGCGTCGTCTCGTTGAGCAGGCACACCCATGCAACAAGCACTGCTGAGAAGGAGTGAGGTGAGGTGAGGTCGGTTGGGGTGAGACAGGGCGATGGGAGACTTAGTAGCTAATTTATCAGGAAGCACGAAAACACTTGAAGGCTTCTCTGCTGTCTCCACTATGGACGCGATGTATGGCATGGACCCGCAAAACACCTTTGGAGGTACTGATTTTCTAGGTTTTCGTTTAGAGGCCTTTTTCTTCGTGCACTTGTCTGTATTTTGGTCAGATGTGTGCTGGCCCCCTTCCTTTAGACAAGGTCTTTGTCCCCACCCCCTTCCCTTGTGTACCATCGCATGCCTTAAACAAGTCGTTGGCAAGAAACAACTATGCGGTTCCCCTGAGTGAGATTTCGTCTTGGTTTGGTGTTGTTAAGACATTAAGACTTAATGGCAGTAGGGATTCTGCGTTTTGTCTGCATGTTACTAACGTCCCTATCATGCGTGCATTTTTCTTTACTCGATCTCCCTCGCTACGAATAAGATAGCCATGCATTTGGGTGACGACACTTGACTTGACATTAGCAACCTTTACCGCACCAACTACTGATTGGGTGAATTTGTTTGCACCACTATTTTGCCTCACCTTCATTGGTTGTTGCAAGGTCGATTGAAAGTGGTATCATTGTTTGATCTTGTTTTGCAGAACGATTCGATCATCATTGTCCGTGGGTAGGGAACTGCGTTGGCGCACGCAATTATCGCTACTTTGTCATCTTCCTTCTTGCGGTTTCTCTGCTGTGTTTTTACGTCCTCTCCTTCTCAGTTGTCAATGTCGTCATTAGTGAGTTAATTGGCCGTTGATGCACACTGTAATTGTCATTTTATGACATATGCACCAACCTTGAAAGGCATTCAATATCTTTAACCGCCCAGCGTTACTTGTGCTCAACTAAAGCCCACTTATACCGCTCATTAACACGGGTATAAGTGTTAGCAGTTTTTATTTGACGTCAGGGTGCGGTTTCATGCTCACTTTTTAATGGCCTTCATATTGCTAAGTAGAACGTAAGTCAGGCCGTGTGCCAACTGTAGTTTCTATCTCACTCCTGCCTCAACACCACTACTCTACTTATCGACTTAAGTAGCGTCCACCGTCCGCCTTTTGTTCTTCCTTTTAGCCTACCGCACCACCACGAACATCACCGACACAGTGAGGCGAACTCCAGTATCATATCCTTTCACCTCCTCACTGGCCTCTCATTCAGGCCACAATTCACATTCTTCACCATTCTACCGATGCTCGCATGACGAGGCTGTGCTTTGCGCCTCTCTATGCGCACTTGTCATTCCTTAACTCCGTGCCTCCCCTTATCCACATTCATAGGCATCCTATCCACCATCTTCCTCTCCCTTTCCATATGCGGTCTGGCCTTCTACCACGTCTACCTTAGCTGTCGCGAGATTTCCACCCACGAAGATGTGAGTTTGAGGTGGAGGCACTGATTGCAAAGTGTTGGCAAGTGGCAACTGGTTGGTGTTTCGGCGACATCAAAGGAGATGCCGAGTTGTGTGACTGGGAGTTGTAGGACTTCATCAAAGTTGGTCGTATTTGCATTTGTAGGTGAGACACTTTCCAAAGACACTGCGTCAAATGGGGCGAGACAATCCCTTCTCCAAGGGCAACGGTTTTGTCAATATGCTTGGTGTGTTGTGTGGTCCTGCTCCACCGAGGTATGTCTCAGTGTCAACTGCTCTTTTGTAGTTGTATTGCGACTGGCTGCCGACGACTGATGACAGATGTGGAAGGTGTGACAAGTTGATGTGGACAAAGGGGAAGCAGACTGTGGATGTGATGGCGACCATGTTAGTGTTGAACGATGGGGCAAAACTTGCAAGCACAAATTCATGGTTTGTGAAACCAACTCTGTTGACTAGTTTGCAGCTGTCAGTGGGCATGAGATGTTGCTCAAATGAGTTCCTCTTGTACGACACAACAGCAGTCATCATTAAAATCGGCATGATTTTGAGTGTGGTGCGAAAGGGTTCGATTGTCGAGGCAGAATTGTATGGCAGGTGATGTTGAATAGGCTTTACTTTAAGGAGAAAAGGGCGGATGTGAATGGAGGGAAATGATACAAGCTTACATACGACTGCAATGCGAATGCTCTGTCATTTGCAATGTGGTGTCTGATGCAGTGTTGAGAGATAAATGGAACTAGTCGGAGAGGGCGTATAGTGGTGTAATTTTATGCACCTGCATTCGAACCGTTGCCATCAAAGATGGCGGCTGACTTGCCGATGTTGTTGGATGTCTGCGATTCACACTTGCGAACCACGCACCTGCTGATGCTCCGCTCAAGTTATCCTTCTCACAATGGCAATAAGGGGACGTGAACAGTCATGTGTGGGTGGAACAAGCCTGGGGAACAGTGGTCTCGCGTGCCGTCCATTGACACGCTTGAAGAAGCACCTCCCCATTACATGACTTTCCAAGTGTACTTCGAAGCGTGTCTTACTTGCTTATGGAGATGAATGAGTTTGTCACTGCTATCTCTTCATTTTGGTGCAGTACTCTGAAGGCGTGGAAGTTGGTGGATCCAGAGGCTGTGAGGCTTCCAAATTCTTCCATGCTGTCAGCTTCGTCGCCACGTGCATCTTCAGGTGAAGACGTTCCGATGAATTACAAGCAATCGGTTGCTGCTCGACCCCTTCGCGTAGACTCTCAAGCTCAAAACAGGGAGGTCTGTTGAGGCAAATGAAGTCTTCTTTTTTAAGCCCTTATTGCTCACAGAGCAGTGCTAAGGCCGCTGACATGGAAATGGAGTTTTCCCACACTTCTGGGCATCTCCAGCTTGTCTCCATGGCAGTAGCCATAGCTGTGCGACTGGTCGTGCTTTGCATTGCGAACGGACTGCATCTTGCAGTATAGTTGCAGGATAGTGGGCAAGTTTGTTTGGATGGAGGGTGGCCTAGTGGAATAACCTTTGCTCCCAATTGGACTTCACCCGTTTCTGGGTTAGGGAGAAGTCGTTGCGATGCGACTACATCAGGTGGGGAGGGGGCGATGGCACCATAACCTTCAATTTGCCAAAGCTGCTTTGTTAGTTAGTCCTGAATTAGGGTTTTATTTTCACACCTTTGTAGGTGGATTGGAGGAGTACAGTGGGTGGTTATCCTCGACAAGCTGAAAGCGCTTCTGTCACTGGCACTAAGTCTGCGGCGTCTCAAAACATCGGTGGGTCAGCTCTCATATGCCCTTTCATGCACTTGATGATAAGGTTTTCAAAAGTCTTAGGCCCTTATTGGAGGAGGAGAAGCGAAAGGAAGAAATAGATGTTGGACGCGGTCAAAGTGTCTTCCTCTTACAAGTCAAAGTAGACATGCCACATTCGTCCATTTGGTTTTTGTTAATGTGCATTATTTAGTTTTATTGTCTACTTCATTCATTTTGCCCTTTTTCGAACACCTCAGAATCACCATTACGGGGGTCAGCGTCATCGATGAAGTCGCCAAAGAAACTGAGGAAGGTGACCTTGGCAGGCGAGGTAGATGAACACGGTGATCGAATGCCGAGCATGGGTTTTGTTGGACGCTCCGTCGTCTCCGTGACGAAATTGCCGCACAGTGCCTCATCCTCACACACAGTGTGCATTGACCGACCCGATGGCTGAGGGCAAGAACGACGAAAGGAGATATCACCCATCGGTGCTCAGTTCATTCTGCTACCCTTGTTGCCCCACCCTGACCGCTTGTGTTGCTTGCATAACCTAATACCGTTTGTTCAACAATTTCCTCTGCCTTTCCCCTCATCTGAGCAAACAAATTGATGAAAAACCATGACTGAACAAATGGTGTATGTAAGGTAACCGTGCTTTTACCCATTCAAACTTTTTCTTTCGAATACAAGATGATGAATGATTGAGACGTTCAGTGTTGAATGAGGTAGGCGCAGATCCACAAGGAAAAAGGAAAGAAGGCAAAACAACCTCCGTGGTTGATCGTTTCGTGTCAAGTCTTTTTGAAACAACTTGTTTGATTCCGAGGAATCCATTTGGACGAATGGTCAGTAAGGCCAAACTTAAGAACAGAAGGAAAGAGTCAACACAGGAAACCCATCACAATATGCTACCATTCCACTGAATCCATCAACGGTCTGGCTTGTCAACGTCATTGCCGTTGGTATGCCAATGCCTCACGAATCTTCGCTTTCATGCTTGTTCCTCCAGCATCAAATGGAGATAGTGGCGTTGTCTAGGCACGGCCAATTGTTGGACATGTAAAGCAAAAAGTAGAGCTCTAGGAGGCAGTAATATCTTGCACTTCCTTACCACATATATTGAAGTTGTGCTTGTGTAGATGGGTTGGGTGATGAGTGTCTCATGGTTGTTTGCAGGCAAGTGTACAATGTATTCGCCTAGTCTCTAGCCAACTGGTCGATATTGGAACCGGTAGATGTGACTTCTGAATATCCAGTCCGCCCATGATTGTAAAGTCATCTTCCACTCGATCCTCTGCTGCCAAGTCACACCAACTAAGCTTCGACAATGGCTGGATTTTGAGATGAGTTCTCACTTTCGTCCGACCGGCTCTGCTTCTCGTCCTGAATACGATGCCGTGAAACACTGGTCCCAAATGCCTGGCAACGAGCAAATTGTGGTTTGTGTTTGTGTACCCCTTCCATCTGAACATCCCAAAGAAGAGGAGGATCATCGACTCCAATCCATCGCCTTTGTGATCGGCACTGCTGCAGCTGGCTCCATTGGTTCTTTCATTGAAAAAAGCTTTGCAGAAGTGATCGACTCAATCGGCGAAATAATCTGTGACATTCAATGACCTTTGGACCTTTACTAAAATGCCATTACACGAGTGATTTCCGTTCAACAACTCGACAACCGCAACGAACCCTTTGCGCCTTGATGATACAAACCCCATCCCAGAAGGCAGTACTTTGGAGGAACACAAAAATTTGCTTTTAAAAGCTCTTTTAGTTCCCTTCCCTCCCACCTTCAAACACGTTGACAGCGTTGTATCGCCATCGGTCACACCACCGCAACATTCCAACCCCAAAGCCAAATACAATGGCATATGTCTTAGCATAGCTCGCCTATAAAGCGATTTGTAATGCTTTGTTCATGTGCTCTTGCAGGCATGGGCTATCCATCGAGCTGAGCCAAAGCCCAATCCCTTCGTCTCCTCATGGAAGATACGTATTCAGCCCAACTTAATGCCTACTTTTACTTTGGGAGCGCTATAGTGATGGCAGTGGAAAGCGAATCTAACTTTTTAACATCGCTTGCATCGTCAATCGACGGTGCGGAAGCACACACACTCCGTGCAAGAGATTCTTTGAATTCGTCAAGACAGAATGATTGAGAATGATGTCTGCGTGTGCCTCCACCCTGCTCTCGTGTTCCACAGCCATGCTATTAACAGCTGAACCGATACCGCCGTGAACCATCAGAAGAAGTTTTTTACTTTGTTTATGTGATCAATTGTATAGCTGACGGTTACTTTGGTATTCGTCTTGCCTTTGTGCACGTCGACTGGTCTTCAAGCCAAGCCAAAGCACAACCGTTCTTCCTTCTCCTCTAGTAAGTTGAATCGGCATGACTTAACGTCGTCCTCCACCTAGTGGAAAGTCTTGGGGTGCCACATAAACTTAATAAGATAAAATTGGGAGTGGAATGACTTAGCAATTTGTGCGTTAGAAAGTGCCAAGCGGCGAGCAGTCAGTTCTTTGGCCACGACTAGCTGAGTCTCCTTGTCGCGTGGGTAGTGGGACGGATGAGAGGATGGAAGAAGGCCTGCAAGTTAATGGGCAAACTCGATGTTTCGTATGCACATTGTATTCCCTCGCATACCACGCCAAAGTTTGCCAATCGTCTTTGATCCGCGGCATGCACATCCAAACTGATACATGCAGGCAATGATTGCAATTTATCTTTCCACCAGTACTGCGTCCTCCTCTCCTTCATCGATGTATTTGTTCGATATGACTTGTCCCGTTGGCAATGCGGATCGAATTCGCACACGTCATTACTTCCAATGGGTGGTAAACTTACTATTACCGAAGGTCCTTTCCATCGCTCTCTATATCACTGCTACACATAGCTCCACAATTGTCCTCTTCTACACAGGTAATGTGGTGTTGGATGGTGCAACATTCATACCTCCAGAGGCGAGCAGGTCCAATTTTCATCTAAAGTTAATTTGGAAGGGAAAGAACTCTCCAGAAGCCAAAAGAAGTGCAATGGACAGAAGAATGCGTCAATTGGGATCGCGTTGAAAAAGGAGTGCAAAATCGGGAGGACAAATGTCCAAACAGATGATAAAGCAAGTAGGTAGAATGTACCACATCTACTAGTCCAGGTAATGCGAAAGAGAGGAAGCACAGACCACATTCAAGCGCACCAGTGGCCTTCACAGACCAGTAAAACGGATTTTAAAGGCTTCATTTTTATCTTTACATGCATTCACCTCACTGTGGAAGTTAATATTACAACACAGTAGTGTCTACCATCTTGATGATAGCTAACTTCATCTCACCTCACCTCGGCGCAACTCACCTCATCGCATTCTTACTTAGACCAAATCCCTTGATTGACGAGCATGCGAACTGCCAGAATCTACATTTTGCCATTTTTATTATGACCTTGTTGCCTGCCAACGATGCTCCGCCTTAATTAATGGACGCGTCTGTTGTATGCTTCAAGCAGTGCCATCCAACTCCAAGTGAGAGAAGTGATACTGGCTACTACGCCTTCAGTATAAAAGCAGTAGCGTCTTCATCGGTTTCGCTAATCGTCACGCACGAAGGGCAGTGAAAAGTAAGGGAAAAGGATTTCACTTAATAAAGGAAAGATGGTGGTTTGAAGGATAACTGCTTAACGGTTTAACCGTAGAGGCATAATAGCGGTAGTTGGCTGCAACTCTTCAAACAAAGCAGAGGAGCGTAAAGGAAGGGTTAGTTCGAAGGTGAATTGGTTCGCGATGAGACGAGGTGAGATAGCGTGAGGTAAGCTGAGGCAGGATCGAAGGGAGGTGAGCTGAGCTGAGCTGAGCCGAGGCAAAGTGAAGTGAGGAGGAATAAGACTGACTACCATCAAAGCGGCCAGCAGTGGAGAGGCGGAGTACCCACTACCACGGTGAGTTAACTGCACCTTGAGATGCAGACTTGGATTGCA